CATGTAAATATTGAATTCACAAAATATCAAAACAGAATACATCTTTCTAGCACAATGGATATTATATATTCAGACTAAAACTGAATAAAACTGAACTCTCATTAATGTTGATAAATTTGCTAACTCTAAAAAAACCACAACTTTAATCATTTTCTGTTGTATATTAATTCTGTCTAACAACTGATTATGAAAAAAAGAAAAAACTTCCCTAACCATACAAAGTCACTTTAAAGCTTTGATCGTTTCTTGGATATCTTTTTTAAAGTTAATATACTCAATTTAAATATATTATCTGTATACACACATCTTTTGATTCTAGATTACATTACAGTAACATTTATGTTCTAGTTAATGTTTGAACACTTAACCAGCCAAATTGCTTACATAAACTTGTCTAGTTACCATTTTGGGAATATCAACATAAAATATGAAGATGGTTAGCCAACAGTATAGTCAGGTTAGATGATATATACAGGTGACAAAAGGTAATCACCTCCAGTTTCAACAGGGGGTATGGGTTAAACAAATATTCTAATGGTAAAAGAATAAAAAAATATATACATACATAAATATAAAGATAAGTATGATGTAAGGTGTTATAAATTGTAAATACCTGTAAAAACTACTTTATAGTATATGGTTAAATTAGCATATTTTGATCATTACAATTGTAATCTTGACCTAATCAACGATTACCCCCCACTCACAATCTCAATTTCTTTCCTAAATTCTCCATCCTCCAACAAATGAAAAAGAATGAATAAAAATATGACAATATGTGGATCTGGAAGAACTTCATTACAGTACAAGAGAAGGTATACATAATATTGAATGTGCAATACAGGTAAAAAAAGGGACCTAAGGTCAACACACATTAAATGTGCAACTTTTCCTGTAATATGGATATAAGACATTGATGATTCAGAACACTATTATGCTATATTAAATCATATATTATATATATAATTTACAGCAGTAAAATGTCTATAGATGCTGGCATATAAACAAAATATGCTACAAAAAAAACTTAATAAAAATACTGAAATACAACAAGTACTACAGTTACAATTTTGCCATATTTCAAATCCATCAGTATAACAATTCTTTTCTCACACAAATCAGCTCACAAATCTAAGTTTACAAACTAAACAAATACACCTCCATACATGCTTCAAACAAGGATACTTTAATAAAGATTCCAGCTCTATTTTGTAATGGGGAAAAAAGCCCAGATTATAGCACTTTTTATAATTGTTATCATAAACACAACAACCTTTTTATCATGATTCAAACAACAGTAAAACCGAAACTGTAATGCTGTCAGTTGTGTTAAACTTGTATTAATTATCCTTATTATCAGTATGTAACTATAAGTTTACAATATGAAAAAAAAACAACAACACAAAACATATAATAGTATACAATTACTTTAACAACCTTTACGATATTCATATCTTTCATGCACATTCTATCACACAAATAAAAGCTCTGCTTACAAAATAAACAACTACACAAAACTTTCTACAAATACTTCATGTTCAACATTAGACTAGAAAAGTGGTTTACTGAAAATATAAGTATTAAAAAAGTAAATAAAAAAATCACCCCCACCCACCCACCTAAATGATCATATGACCACCAAACAATGCTTACCTAAGTTAACAATTTTTCAGTTTTACTGGTGCAGGAAAACAGTTGGCATGATTTGAGCCTACAGTTATAACAGGCTTGTGATTTAATAACTGAGAACACAGTTGAACATATATATATATTGTCATTCATTCATTCATGTATCTATATATTGTCATGTATTATTAAGATGTTGTATTCATTGTATGAAATAAAACTATGTTTAAAGTAAATACCATTAGAAAACTGTTGTATATGTAATTTAGGTATCACTATTAAAGCAATATGTTTAAATGTAGCAGAAAATTTACCCTTTAACAAGTTCATTAATTAATTTAGGTATGCCTTGGTATTTCTCTTTTTGATGTTTCAGTATTGTTTACACAATCATGGATGAATGCTTTACATGTTTTTTAAATAATTTGTTTTTCAAGAACAATTAAAATATATATGTAGGAAAAGAATTCTTCATCCAATTCCTTAACAGCTATATATTGGACATAGCTGAATCATTCAAACTACAATGGTACAAGACAACCAAATAATCATTTCTGTAAAGTCAAATTAAAAATTTATAAAAGGAAAAATCTTTAAAGAAGTGATTTTGAGCAGCATTTTTTAAGATTATAACAAATTCTATTCTGAAGTATAGGTTAAGACGAAATATAATGAGATTTTACTGTCTGTGATCGGTATAAATAACCAGAACCATACGAGACATAAATTGTTTGAACAATTTTGTAAGGAAATTACAATGCTTATTCCTGTAGCATTAAGATGATATTAACAGATTAGATTAGATTATAACATATGTATGTTTTAACTGTGAACATAAAGACAGATCAAAATTAATCACAATTTCAGAGAATAAGTGATCACAATACCTCGTCTGGAGCATATTTTGACCTATAAACCTCAATACATATATGTCACTTATTTCAGATTTAATAAAATAATTGTACTACAAATAAAATATTTACCCTACCAAATTATCTCTAAAAACAAAAATTTGAGACGCAAGCTTATATTTGATAGATGAAGAACAAATAAAATATTAACCAGTAAGACATACAAGATCTGCAATAATTAGAATTGTCAATTGTTCAGCACCAATGACTATTCTCCATGCTTGATTGCAAAATATGAGCCTGGATAATGTAGGACTTTTATAATATCACAAAGCAAAATCCATACTGGTTTGGGAGATAAACTCGGCCGAAAATCGGTGTTTTTGGGGCATACTTCATTTATTTGTTTACGTATTCTGATGAATCTTGCACCATAATAAACTTCAGCTCTTCGATATTCCGGTATCACCATAAAAGTTATATTTAGAAACAAAACGGGTAATTTTGAGAGGCCCTGGAAGAGGTACGTAAAAAGGACATTTTTAACACGCGCAAGTAGATAATTCCGGCTCTTTGATTTTCTTCTTAAATCATTTTTAATGAGTAAATTAAACGTAGAATAACATGTTAAGACATTTTATTATTCCTTTGCTAGTCATATATGTCAAATAAAAATATTTTGTATCAGAATTTTTTGAGAATTACGTTAGTATAATGAATACATGTATATATGATAACACGATATTAAATATGCAACGTAGTATGTAACATATAATTCATTTTAACGTAAATACGTTTTTTTTTTGGTTTGTTCTTTTTTAAGTGTCATAGGGTGAGAAAAATGTGCAGCCTGACCCGGACCCATAAAAAGTAACCCTGTACGGGCCTCAAAATGAGCATCTACTGCGCATGCGTACAGCAATCGAATTTCCCGTACTATTGATAGGCATGTTTTGTAAACAAACGGTTAAAAGTCTGTGCTATTTTTTTAAATATCTTACCAAACTTGACAAAATTTCCAGATATTGTCGAATTCCAGCGTTCGTACGAGATGGTGAGCTTGATTACATTAAAAAAGCCGTTAACTCGATTAAATCATAAAAAGCCAAGTTTATCAACCAGCCGAAGTTATCTCCCCAACCAGTACAAGGAATATGGTTTATAGAAAATAAAAGTCTTTGCAAGAGTTATATGTCTTACACAGTGATACTATTTTAATGTAAGCTTTAGGTGGATATTTTAGAGGATATTGAAATTATTTTAATGGATTTTGAGATATGAAGTTCCATAAAATGTTACACTGACAAAACTGAGTAAGATAGTCAAACTAAAAACAAAATGAGCCATGTCACGACAAAACCAACACAGTGCTCCTGCGACCAGCATGGATCCAGACCAGCCTGCGCATCCGTGCAGTCTGATCAGGATCCATGCTGTTCGCTATCAGTTTCTCTACTTGTAATAGAGTTTGTAAGCGAACAGCATGGATCCTGATCAGACTACGCGATGCGCATGCTGGTCTGGATCCATGCTGGTCTCAAACGCACTATGTTGGTTTTGTCGTGACACAGCTCAAATATTCTTGAATTAGATATTTACTGGTATATTAGCCAATTAAACATGATAATCAAGTTAATATTTTCCACTTACATATATTTATAAAGCTGCATTTTTGTAACGTCCATTTCCATTTAATAATTGTGACAGTTATATAATCTATACATGTAAATGTGGCTCTGTCAATTCCTTAAGTAATTTTCTTTCAGTTTTCTTTAAATAAAAAAAAATCGCTGTATTTTAAATTTTCAATAAAGAATTTTAACAGGTTATATGTCCATGTATAAATGGTTCTCTGCAATATAACCATTACCTAGCAGGTTGGGTTATATAAGTATATAACTATGTGATGGGCTATATAATTTGTCAAAAATCTGTACAACTAATTATATATCTGGTTCTTCTACAGTTTCTTTAGATTGTAAAGTTGCAAATCAAAGCATTCTATACAAACAATTCTAAAAAAAGTGTCAAAATAAAACAGATATCGTACTTGTAAATAATAAACCTAATGCAATCTCAATGCTAGTTTCAGCAATGTGATATTTCAGGTAGTAATGATTCCCTATCCATAGAAAGCTTATTTTCAGCATAAACTAAATTAAATAAATTATGTCATGACTAATAAAAAATATGCGGCATTCACAACTACATAAAACAACTATTGAAAAGGTTGTAATACATTAAAATTATGAATTTCACTACAAACTAAATGACATTACATCTTATCTTCATGATGATCCACAAAGTGTATAATATAGTTTATAGTTGTTTATGTTTAATTGCTTTCATCACAATTGTTTACAGTGTAAAATTTAGCACTTCATTTGTCAGTTCTTGTCTTAAAAAGCTTAGTAACAATATTAGTAAAGCAATTACAATTATCTAAGACATTCACTAAATTAATAGTATAAATAATAAAGAACTGTAATTATTATGTTAGGATTTGATGTATAGTCTAAACATATAGAATATACAAAACACAACAGGTGTAAAATCTCTTCTATGCATTTTTGTTTTTTATTAATGATTAAAAGCTTAAAAACAAAACATATGTAGGTAACATGAGCTCCTAGGTAACAATCCTGTATGTGTATAAACACAGTATATACATTGTGTCTGATCAGAATGTTGAGAAGCTTGCTATTTCACAGCTTTCAGGTGATTCTGATCTGAAAGTTTATATGAGTCTATGAAACATTCTTCTCTACCAATACCTCACCCCTAGTACATAATGGGTATGTACCTTGACAACTATATAACATTAAGTATGACATTTACAATGTTTAAGATCTAACATATTTCTTTATCATCTGTTTTTCAGGATAAACTAAAATATGTAGTCATTAACTAAAGTCAAGTGTTCATCAGAAAGTCTTGTAAATACTTTATAGTAATGTATGTTACAGCAGGTCCAACATCTCTGTAATAATCTCCAATTGTTCAAACTTTCCTGCTGGCATCACCATTTTCCAGCTCAACTGTTTAGGTATACAGTTGACAGCAGCAAATTCAAGCATTTAACTGTGTATAATTTAAGCTGACATCAGCAGAACAGCAAATGGTAGAAAATTAAATCTTCAGTAAGTCCATTCTACAAGACATTGGAGTATATCTCTTTGGATTCCAAGTACTCTAACACTGCACGATAACAAAAATGAAACTGATCCTGAAATTAAAGAAAAAACCTTCAGTCGGCAATAACAATTGTTGACAAATTGTATTAATTTTAATTTTCATTATATATTGCTTTGCCTGCAATACATCAGATATTCACATTATGTATAAAGCATAGAAATTGTAAAATGAATTTCAATTTTTACTTATCACCGCTTACAAATCATGAGCATGAATCCTGAAATGTTACTTATTTGTAAGGTTTTTTTAATAAAACAGAAAACACACAGTGCTAATATAACGTCTTGAAAGATTGATATCATAAGAGTCTCGAACAATATTCAAATATGTTCAGCCTACTGAACCTATAAACTGCTAAATGTGAGCAAAACATTTGCCCTGCTTTGAATTTGGAACAGTGACAGTCCAAGTGAAAGGGATTACAATATCAAAATACAACAAGAAATAATGTAAAGGGCAATGGATGATCATCAGAAACTGCCATTGTTATCAATAAACTACAATAAAAAATTTGTATGAAAATGTAAAAAAAAAATCTATTTTTAGCATGATTGATTTTGACCGTAACAACTCCAACAGAATTTATAGGACCAAAATATGTCCCTATCAAATATAAGGCATTGATCCATTTACAAAGGCTGTAAAACCACTACTGTAAAAACATGTATCTATTTTCAACCAAGATAACCTTAAGCAAACCAAGGTTTGTACCAAATAATTTTTAGGGCGCATAAAAATCGACCTAACAGCAGTATAGAGCCTGGTCAGACGTGAAGGGTGGCCTGGCTCTATATACGGGTTGGAGGGCTTATCACTTCCTGTCCCAGCAGGTTAAAGGTTAATGGCCAGTATGTAAAGTACAGCAAAGACGTCAAAATAATTATCTTATCAACAAACAAGATGTTTTTTTAAAGTCTTACAAATGTTTTGATGAGTTGGGGTCTTCTAGCCCTGAGCTGCATCACTGTTTGAGGAATGTTGATTTTCTTCTCCATCTGTAACCTCTCCAACACACATGATACAGCACAAAACAATCCACTACGATCAGCACCATTCCTAATGAAATATCAAAATATAGGTATCTTATACACTACAATCACTCCATCAGCACCATTCCTAATGAAATATCAAAATATAGGTATTTTATACACTAAGATCAGCCCCATTCCTAATGAAATATCAAAATATTGGTATCTTATACACTAAGATCAGCACCATTCCTAATGAAATACCAAATATTGGTATCTTATACACTATAATCAGCACCATTCCTAATGAAATATCAAAATATTGGTATCTTATACACTAAGATCAGCACCATTCCTAATGAAATATCAAAATATTGGTATCTTATACACTACGATCAGCACCATTCCTAATGAAATATCAAATAATGGTATCTTATACACTACGATCAGCACCATTCCTAATGAAATACCAAATATTGGTATCTTATACACTACGATCAGCACCATTCCTAATGAAATATCAAATAATGGTATCTTATACACTATGATCAGCACCATTCCTAATGAAATACCAAATATTGGTATCTTATACACTATGATCAGCACCATTCCTAATGAAATATCAAAATATTGGTATCTTATACACTATAATCAGCACCATTCCTAATGAAATATCAAAATATCGATATTTTATACACTACGATCAGCACCATTCCTAATGAAATATCAAAATATCGGTATTTTATACACTTTAATCAGCACCATTCCTAATGAAATATCAAAATATCGGTATCTTATAAACTACGATCAGCAATATTCCTAATGAAATATCAATATATATATATCTTATAGAAACTTAAATGTAGGGGACATAGATGGATACAAAGACAATGTCACTTAAATAATATACTTTTCATTCTATAACAACTTGCTGGAAGAGTTTACGAAAAAAAGAAACCTGGTAATCTTATATATCTGATGTTGTTTGATATTATCTGGTTCTTAATACTTCTCAAATGACGCTGCAACCAAAAATCATTACAATATTAACCCTTTCCTTTGTCCTTGTGGTAATTCGTAACTGTTCACTAATGAATTTCAAGATTCAAATATTTAAACTAAGTGGCAAACATTATAATGCTTCATCTGATTTCGGGAACATGTACGAGGACTGTTCGAAAAGAATTGCTTATTGTCCTCTATCTTGTCCACGTGGGACCAATACAATTGGTTAATTAGGTTTTTCAATCTAAAAACTACTATGAAATTGTGAGACAAACATTCCCTCCACACTCCAGCATAATTTGTAGTTTAACAAGTAAAATATTTGGCTATATGTACTTACATGCAATGCACTATAACTGCTTCAGTTTTTGAATCTCTATGTGACATTGACACTCGGCTAATAAGAGAAGTCAAGGACGAAGTTGTCTCAGGTAAACTCTCATTGTCTGCCCACCCCTCATACCTGAACAACTTCACCTCCATTGTTGTCAATTTACTCTGTAATATAAACATAAAACTGAAATTAACTAAATATAACTACCAAATATAATTTCCAAGACTTCATAGTTCCAAAAACAGGTTATATTCAACTAAAAGCTGAGCATTAAAATATAATCTATTAACAAAGCACAATAATAATTGATTAAGACAAACATAAATAATTTTACATTAAATTTGTATACTACAACACTGTTTCAATACTAGTATGAAAGTGTAACTTCATATATGCTAGTCACTGCTGGGACCAAATCACTGGTGATATTTTGGTAATCCAGGCACTTGCTAACTTGCAGTTATTGTTAAGATGTAAAATTATCAGTAAAGAGTACATTAAATGCTTACCATCACCAGTAAAGTGCAAGTTAAATGTAATACATCATTGTGCGAGTTAAATGTAATACATCATCAGTGAAGAGTGTGTTTAAGATGTTATTCATTAACAGTGGAGAGCATTTTAGATGCTATAAATCACTTATGTAGAGGGACATCATCATATCATAGTGGGTTTAAGCTGTATGGCAATACCAGTGATGAGTATTTTAGATGTAATACATTACCATTGAAGTATGTGTTAACTGTATAGTCATGACTGAGAACTCCTCATTATCGTAACAGTTGATCAGTTTCACCCTGAATGGTCCATATGTGCTATCATCAGACGGCCAGTATTCCGCTGTCTGAAATAAAATAAACACTTACATTAAAGCTGATATAACATAAAATATGCTATATATAAATACTCTTGTCATACTTCACCAGAAAAAGAGCAGTTGTTACAGTTCAAAACTGAGTTGTTTTTTTCTCTCTTTTTGGTCATACTGACTTTGTAGAGGTCATATAATTGCTTTTACTGTTAGTGAAATACCTCAGGTGCCCCTTGGATTATTTTAGGCCCAAGCTGAAGCAGAGTACAATGTAAGCTTGCTGGAAAGCTTCCTTTCATGGAAATATTCAGTTTTCCACAGGATTCTACCCACAGTAGCTAGGGGCAAGTGTTACAAAGTAAGCAACCATAACCACTAGACCATGGTAACCACTAGAGCATGGAGAGCTCCCTTTAGTTTTGCTAATCGTGCATTTATGTACAGTATTTAACCAGCAAAGTTTCTAAAATTTTGTAGCACTACAATCATATCTTATATTAGTAAGGATATTCCTTCACAACAAAACTATAGCCATGCCATGACAATATCTTAAAAACATTTTCCATGCTTTCTTGTGTTCTTTAAACAAAACAGCAACTCATTTTGGCTCCCATGATAAATCACTGACCATCCGTAGCCAAGTTGAATATTTTCCTAAACAGGACATAATTTTGTCTATTGTGAGAATCAAACAGACAGTGGTTAATGGCAAAAGAGAAACATTAGAAACTTAAACTACCACGGGGGTTTTTATGAAAGGGAACAAAAAGAAGAGAAAGTGAGATTTTTTATGAAGGGCATTCATGTGATGTTACCTATATTGAAGTACTTTGTTTTATCAGAAGCCTGATGTAAATGAGCAGCATATACAAACCTCCTCATCATCATCATCAACATTATTCATCATGACAATGTTAGAGACATGTTGGTCATACACTAAACGCCAGAAATCTGTTACTGTATGTGGTAATGGCATCTGTGTAATCAGGAACCCTGTCTTATTGGAACATGTCTGAAACATATTTATTTCTCTTATCTTCTGTTTTATTTTGTTTTGTTTACGATGCATTTCAATGAATCTAACGTAAACAGCTAAGGTAAAGAATATATGCATTAATGAAGTATATCCTACAAACAAGGCTGAAATTAAAGCAATAAAAATGTCCTCATTAATTTAACTGAAATGGCCAGGATTAAAGTCTGTGACCAACTGAAATGCTGTTGATTAAACATAATTTTACATGGTTCATGTTAAATTTCTTCTTGAAAAAAAAGACAGAGTAAACTTATTAACATAACAAGAAAAACAAAAGAGATATTGAAAATATTTAGAATACTTTTACAGCTATGTTTGTGGCAAACTCTAATGCAAAACTTTTATAACGTCTAAGTTAATGATTTAAATACAACATACAGGCACAAAAATAGCATTAATATATTCATTTGAGCCTTTTACTGGAGTTGACAAATAAGCTCTACATGAGTCGAGGGGCAGTATATCACGATCACGATTCTTCCCTATATTCTCCTCCTTACTACCAGCAGAATAACAAGTTTCATCTGGCAGTGCACACATCTGATTTATCATCTGAAATACAAATATAAATAAGTCATTCATCTTGTTAGATTTTAGTTCACATAGACACTAAAAGATCATAAAGTGATTTTTCATCTTTATTGGCAAAGAAAGACTTCAGGTGTGCCTCCACACATTATTTCAGGCAGAGTCATCACCTGAAAAGAAACCAGAGACATTCCTTAACCTACCTGGATAGCTTCCTTACAGTCTCAGTTGTAATATTGTTCAAAATAATTAATATCAAAGTGAAGTCATACAAACATACTTTGTTGTAAATATAAAATTAAACCATGATTAATCCTCAGAAGACATTAGTAATTACTTAAGTAAATATTTTTCTCTTGATGTAAGACAGCAGCCTATCAATCAAAGACATGAATAAAGTTTATGACAATCAATAAATAGTTTTACCTCAAATTGTTCTTGAAGCTTTGTTTTGCTTGAATCAGTACCGTCTTCCTGCATAGACCAATAATACTGACTAAACTCAACCTCTGTCACTTCTGAATCCTTCGTATTTAGTGCTTCAGCTATTGCATTATGTACAAACTCATACTGTATCTGAAAATACAACACCATCTCTGTTGTAATTATTCCTAGGAAATCTATCAGCAGAGTCAATATTCTTCGGCATCTCCTAATAATATTTATAAAGTTTCAAAGAATAAAACATTACACATCATGCATGTGCCATATCTAAAGATATGTTAAAGGCTACTTTCTTGAAGTAATATAGTGTTAACTTTCTGTTACTCTGCTTTATATTAGTCAATTTAATACATGTAATTTCAATATTTGACTTCATACAAGCAGAAATAACCATTTTTACAGCTTAATTGGACCCCTATAACAATATGAAAGCAACTACTAACCTGTAACTGAAGAATATCTAAATTAAACTATTACTACTTAATTACATGATGTTGTTTGCTTTTAATGTAATATAATAATATTCATATTCTTTTTAATATGAAACACATCATAACATTTTTAACTGTACACAAAGTTATTTTTGAGACTTCAATTCTTAAAGATGGGCCATACAGTCATGTTTTCCCATTTCTTCAACAGACTCATCTCACTTGATTAGACAAGAGCTCTTAGTAGGACAGCATGCTCAGCTATTCTCCGTGCTTGATTGTAAAACAAGGGCATGGATAATGTAAAATTTTAAAAGTTCAAAAAGGCCTATAATTCTGTCAAAATCCATGTCAGAGGTATGGGCCTTGGACAGTGACCTTATATATTGCTCTCAAATAAGTGTTTGAACTTTCAACTCATTCCCTTCTGTAGTTTTTGAGATACCAACTTGCACTCAAAACTTAACCAAAGTGTGATGTTTATTCCAACACTGATGCCTTGGTGAGTAAAACAGCTCTAGCTATTCTTCCAATATTCAAGCTTATAAATCTTAAACAGCTGTCATGTCAAATAAACTTACATTTAATCAGTTCTACAGACTCATATGAAATAATAATTCATGTGAGAGCCTATTCATATGTATATAAATAAAGATATCTTACATCTGTCTGGACGAAATTTGTTCTTTGGTATCGCATATCTGTGATAGTTTTAAACAAATCTATTTTTGGTTCAACATGAGCTTGTTTCAGAAGATAATCCAATGCCACAAATGTTCCTGTTCTCCCAATACCAGCACTGTAAAAGTAACAATTTATACTGTACTAAAACATATCCATTACTGTGAAATACAGTGTCCTTATATACAGAACCTTCCCTAAAGCATATCCATTTGAAATATACTAAAATAGGGACATCCTTTAAGGAAAGTTCACCTAAAATAAGCTAATATATTAAAAAAATCTTTGTTTAAGAAAATTCACTTAAATGTAGTACTGATACAAAAAGTTCTAGTAGCAAATATTTGGTCTCATATCTTTATAAAGGACTGGATTTTTATTCAACAGAACAGAATTTTGACCTTCCCTTCAGAAACACCTTGACCTATAAAAAAAAGACTCACCTACAGTGTACCAATATTGGACCATCAAGGAAAGTGTGTTCACTCATAACTATATCTCTAAATTGCAGCATCACACTAGGATTATCTGGAACACCCCTATCTGGCCACGCCGTAAAATGTAAATGCTGAAAATCTTTTACTTCATTTGTTTTACACTGAAATGACATAAAAACTTAAGTTTGTGAATCTGTATTTATTTGGCTTTTCCAAAATGTGGAAATAATAAAAGTTTTATTATCTTAAGTCTTAACCTGCTGAATTTCTTAAATGGACTTAACCTGTTGGCTTTTTTAGAACTGTTCATTATCAAATGTAGGGATATCAAGAAGTAAATCTGAAGATGGTCAGTAAACACTATAGAGCCTGGTTAGACTGCATGGATGGACAGTAAACAGTATAGAGCCTGGTTAGGCTGCATGGATGGACAGGCTGGCATGGCTCTATACTGGTGACAAAGGCTGATCACTTTTGGTTCCGATACGTTAAAGGTTAATAACAAGAGCTGTCTGTAGGACAGCATGCTGGACTATTCTAAGTGCTTGATAGTAAAAGAGCCTTTATATTGTTAAAATTTTTAAGTTCACAAAAGGGCTAATTTTTTTTTTTATAAATTCATGTTATAGGCCTTAGAGAGAGTCTAATTATACAGAGTTGGCTTGACTATTTGGAAGGTAATGTCACAAGGGTTTTTTATTGAGTATAATAATACTAATTACCTATGAATACATAAATTTGACAGAAAAGGTACAAAGGCTTGTTATTAAGATGTTTTATCAAGTAAATCACTGCTTTATTATTATGAATGCATAAAATTGTCCCAAAAAAGGCACAAACCCTTCAGTATTTATTGAGATAACAGCTTACAAGCAAAACTTTACCATGAATTTCTAAGTTGAAAAAGGGGAGAAAAATCAGCCTAAATGCAAGATAGAATTATGGATCTTTGTCAGTGACCTACAATTATGACCCTAAATGCATATGTGAAGTTTTAAATAAATATCTTTAATAGTTATTGAGATATGTAAAACTTGCATGTAAACATTAACCAAGAGACTAAGTAGAAAAGGGGATATGAATCAGTCTTAATGCAAGATAGAGTTATGGAACTTAGTCAGTGACATACAATTATGACCCTCCAATTATGACCCTAAGTGCATGTGTAAAGTTTCAAGTAAATATCTTTGAAGACCGTTAACCTTTAACCAAAATTTCTTAGTTTCAAAGGGGCAAATAATTCTGCAAATATTGCAGACAGAGTTATGCAATTTTGCAAACTGATGTACATTGTTACTATAAATAAGTATTTTAAATTTCAATTGAATATCTCAAGGAATAATTGAGATATAAGACTTTACAAAAAAACTTTAACCAAAATTTCTAAGTTCCAAAGGGGCATAATTCTGTCAATATTGTAGGCAGAGTTATCCAACTTGTCAATCTGATGTACCTTGTTACTATAAATAAGTATTGTAAGTTTCAATTGAATATCTCAAGTAATAATTGAGATATAAAATTTTGACTTTACAAAAAACTTTAACCAAAATTTCTAAGTTAAAAAGGGGCATTATTCTGTCAATATTGTAGGCAGAGTTATCCAACTTGTCAATCTGATGTACCTTGTTACTATTAATAAGTACTGTAAGTTTCAATTGAATATCTCGAGCAATAATTGAGATATTTGACTTTACAAAAAACTTTAACCAAAATTTCTAAGTTAAAAAGGGGCATAATTCTGTCAATATTGTAGGCAGAGTTATCCAACTTGTCAATCTGATGTACCTTGTTACTATAAATAAGTATTGTAAGTTTCAATTGAATATCTCAAGTAATAATTGAGATATTTGATTTTACAAAAAACTTTAACCAACGCAGACGCCGACGCGGACGCTGACGCCGACGCCGGGGCGACTACAATAGCTCTCATATTCTTCGAATAGTCGAGCTAAAAATGGTTTCTGTTTCTTGCTTAAATTATCTAAAAGTAATTCTCACTTGCATTTAACTCTTTCAATGCCTACTACATCACAGTAAGATTCATTAGTATGTAAGATGAAATACTGTTTAATCTGAATATAGTGGTATAATTTAATTCTTTTAATTACAACTCATAGGTGTTTAACATTGTTCTATAAAATCATATAGTAAGAATTGTTTTATCGTCAAAATACTAATACAGGAAGTAATAAGTTAAAAATACAAGAAACTTGCATAAAACAAGTATTTTTGTAGGAAGACGGACAAAAACCCACCAGTCAAAACTCCACACCTCAAAATTTTATAGAGTGGACATAACCCAACACCTAAATTTTACAGAGTTGAAAAAACCCCACACCTTCAATTTTACCGAGTGGACAAAACATAAATTTACAAAAGAGATACACAATCATAAATTTACAAAGAGGTACATACACAATCATAAATTTACAAAAAGGTAAACAATCATAAACTTATAAAGAGGTACACAATCATAAACTTATAAAGAGATACACAATCATAAATTTACAAAGGGGTACATAAACAATCATAAATTTACAAAGAGGTAAATAAACAATCATAAATTTACAAAGGGGTAAATAAACAATCATAAATTCTCCTCACATTAGTAGCTTGTAGATGTCTTTTTGTATAGTTTGGCAGTTCATCCTCTGTGAGCATGATAACCTCATAACAACCATACTTCTGGGGCTCGTCTGTCTCTGGCCAATAACGAACACATTTCATCTGATAAACAACATGAAAATGTTTCATTAATAATAAATTTATAACAGTAAAATAAACCACTCATTGTTAAACCTCATTTATTTATACACAAAATAAAACTTTACCAGAAATAATTTCATTTTGTCATCATTTACGGCAACAATTATGTTCATCCTGAGTCACCTTACAATCATGAGTTATCAAATGTACTGATTTACCTTGCATTCTTCAAACAAGTTTGTCAGCATCACTATTCTCCCACAATCCTTCTGAAAGATCATTCTCCAAAAATCATTCACTGTACTGTCTACAGGACCCTGGGCAGCTATAAATGCCTTTGGGCTCTTGTAACCCTATAAAATAAAGCAACAAAACTATCTATAAGACCTTGGGCGGCTATAAATGCCTTTGGGCTCTTGTAACCCTATAAAATAAAACAACAAAACTATCTATAGGACCTTGGGCGGCTATAAATGCCTTTGGGCTCTTGTAACCTTATAAAATAAAACAACAAAACTATCTATAAGACCTTGGGCAGCTATAAATGCCTTTGGGCTCTTGTAACCTTATAAAATAAAGCAACAAAACTATCTATAGGACCTTGGGCAGCTATAAATGCCTTTGGGCTCTTGTAACCTTATAAAATAAAGCAACAAAACTATCTATAGGACCTTGGGCAGCTATAAATGCCTTTGGGCTCTTGTATACCTTATAATAAGCAAAACTTCTATTAGGACTTGGGCAGCTAATAAATGCCTTTGGCTCTTGTAACCCTATATAAAATAAAGCAAACTATAAAATAAACAACAAAACTATCTATAGGACCTTGGGCAGCTATGAATGCCTTTGGGCTCTTGTAACCTTATAAAATAAAGCAACAAAACTATCTATAGGACCTTGGGCGGCTATAAATGCCTTTGGGCTCTTGTAACCTTATAAAATAAAACAACAAAACTATCTATAAGACCTTGGGCAGCTATAAATGCCTTTGGGCTCTTGTAACCCTATAAAATAAAGCAACAAAACTATCTATAGGACCTTGGGCAGCTATAAATGCCTTTGGGCTCTTGTAACCTTATAAAATAAAACAACAAAAACTATCTATAGGACCTTGGGCAGCTATGAATGCCTTTGGGCTCTTGTAACCTTATAAAATAAAGCAACAAAACTATCTATAGGACCTTGGGCAGCTATAAATGCCTTTGGGCTCTTGTAACCTTATAAAATAAAGCAACAAAACTATCTATAGGACCTTGGGCAGCTATGAATGCCTTTGGGCTCTTGTAACCTATAAAATAAAACAACAAAAATCTATAGACCTTGGAAGCTATAAAACAACAAAACTATCTATAGGACCTTGGGCAGCTATAAATGCCTTTGGGCTCTTTAACAACAAAAACTATCTATAACCTTATAAAATAAAGCAACAAAACTATCTATAGGACCTTGGGCAGCTAATGAATGCTTTTGGGGCTCTCTGTTAACCTATATTAATAAAGCAACAAAACTATCTATAGGACCTTGGGCAAGCTATGAATGCCTTTGGGCTCTTGTAACCTTATAAACTAAAACAACAAAACTATCTATAGGACCCTGGGCGGCTATAAATGCCTTTGGACTCTTGTAACCTTATAAAATAAAACAACATAATTGTCTATAGGACCCTAGGCAGCTATAAATTCCTTTGGGCTCTTGTAACCCTATAGAATAAAACAACATAACTGTCTATAGGACCCTAGGCAGCTATAAATGTCTTTGGACTCTTGTAACCTTATAAAATAAAACAACATAACTGTCTATAGGACCCTGGGCAGCTATAAATGCCTTTGGGCTCTTGTAACCTTATAAAATAAAACAACAAAATTGTCTATAGGACCCTAGGCAGCTATAAATTCCTTTGGGCTCTTGTAACCTTATAAAATAAAACAACAAAATTGTCTATAGGACCCTAGACAGCTATAAATTCCTTTGGGCTCTTGTAACCCTATAGAATAAAACAACAAACTGTCTATAGGATCCTTGGCAGCTATAAATGCCTTTAGACTCTTGTAATCTTATAAAATAAAACAACACAACTGTCTATAGGACCCTGGGCAGCTATAAATGCCTTTGGACTCTTGTAACCCTATAAAATATAACAACATAACTGTCTTTAGGACCCTGGGCAGCTATAAATGTCTTTGGGCTCCTGTAACCCTATAGAATATAACAACATAACTGTCTATAGGACCCTGGGCAGCTATAAATGCCTTAAGACTCTTGTAATCTTATAAAATAAAACAACAAAATTATCTATAGGACCTTGGGCGGCTATAAATGTCTTTGGGCCTCTTGGGTAACCTATTATAACCTTATAAAATAAAGCAACAAAACTATCTATAGGACCCTTGGGCAGCTATAAATGCCTTTGGGCTCTTGTAACCTTATAAAATAAAGCAACAAAACTATCTATAAGACCTTGGGCGGCTATAAATGCCTTTGGACTCTTGTAACCCTATAAAATATAACAACAAAACTGTCTATAGGCCCCTGGGCGGCTATAAATGCCTTTGTACTATTTTTTTTCCTGGTATATAAAACTTATCATGGATCATTATTATTCATGTGCAATGTACTTCTCTTCAATGAGATTGTCGAAGGTTCAAGTTAAAAATGTAAAAAATTAGCAAGCAACAAGTGACTGGCACACAATTTTTGGTAAATAAACCTATTTTTATAATTTACAATAATGCGATCCGACTTTGCTAAGTTTCAAATTTCCCAGGCCCTGATCACAGACATCTGGGTAGCAATCATTAATAAATAATCATGTCACTGAAAAAGACACTATATTTTCTTGTTCACTTACTTTAACATATGAAGCATTTATAAAGTCTGTTTCATCTTCTAGTTCAGGTTCAATTTTTACTCTTGTTTCATCATCTGTAAACAATACAACTCTAGATTTTTATTAAGTTCACATACATTTAACAAAAAATAATTTGTATCATTTTTTAAATATGTTTTTCTAAACAAAATTTTGTTTGAAATACACTAAATTGCGCATTTCTCTATTTTTCGGTCTATATAAAAAAGTAATGGTTATGTCATAAGTGATTGCTCTTTCTCTGCAGGGAGATTTGAAGAAGAATAAATGAGCCTCGTGACGACAAAACCAACATGATGGGTTTGCGACCAGCATGGATCCAGACCAGCCTGCGCATCCGCGCAGGCTGGTCTGGATCCATGCTGGTCGCAAACCCATTATGTTGGTTTTGTCATGACGCGGCTCAAATGATCTTCTATAAAACAGCTGCTAAACTATTTAATATTACCTGACCTTATTACAGGAAAAGTTCATTTTGTTTTAGCATTTTAACTTGCACATCACACATGATTTTTATTCAGGAATATTTTGTGGTACTGGATTAACTATTTACAACAGAATATTAAAACATTTATTGCGAAGATCGTGTTTTTATTAGCATGTAATTATTATACATACATGGATACAGCTGCTTGTAGCGACACTTTCCTCTGTTTTTAAAGCTTTGAGCATCATCACATGGCTTCAGTAAACCTTTTGGCAATTTCTACAAAATAAGAACATTATTATGTATTGCACAAACACCAACACCAACAGCCGGCGTTTGATTCTTTTTCTTGCATACTAATATCAATTATTTTCATACCAGAAATTACGAAAACTGATATTCTCATTACACACTTTTTTCTTACAGTATAACTAATAAAGGGCCATAACTCTGAGTTAAAGCATCTGACCAAATCAAGGTGACGATATGCGCATCTCTTCGTATTGAAGATTCATATAAAGTTTCGTTGAATTCCAGCTAGTAGTTGCAGAGAGTTCCCCAAATGATTATTGCTCTATATATGCATTCTGCATAACTAATTAAGGGCCATAACTCTTGAGTTAAAGGGTCTGACCGGAACAAGGCGCCGATATGCGCATATCCTCTTGGTATCGAGGGTTCCCATAAACTTTTGTTGAATTCCAGCAAGCAGTTGCAGAGAAGTTGCGCGAAATGATTATTACTCTACATGCATTCTGCATAACTAATCAAGGGCCATAACTCTGAGTTAAAGGGTCTGACCGGAACAAGGCAATGATATGTGCATCTCCTCTTGGTACTGAAAGTACCCATAAAGTTTTGTTGAATTCCCATCAGTAGTTGCAGAGAAGTAGAGCGGAAATGATTTTTGCTCTATATGCATACTGCATAACTAATTAAGGGCCATAACTGTGAGTAAAAGGGTCTGACGGGAACAAGGCAACGATACGTGCATCTCCTTTTGGTATTGAAGATTACCATAAAGTTTTGTTGAATTCCCACCAGTAGTTGCAGAGAACTAGCCCAGAAACGAAATTCGGGTGGACGGACAGAGGGACAAAGCCAAAACAGTATCCTCCTCCCGATTCCATCGGCGGGGGATAATAAGGAAATAATTTTACATGTATTATAATTATACTGCACAAAAAAAAAAGATTTTAATAAAGATTAACTAATATACAAGAGGGCCATGATGGCCCTGAAATCACTCACCTGTATATAGGCCCCTGGGGTAGGGCCAATTTTAACCCAAGGGCTTTTATTTGAACAATTTTGGTAGACACCAATTAGAAGATTTTTCATGATAAATATGTAAGCTCTAGCGCTTTGAGGATTTTAAAAGATTTTTAAGATTTTACTATACACATATAGGGAAAAACAATAATCCCCCCTCCCGGGCCGGGCCAAGTTTGACCCCAGGGATTTTATTTTAACAAACTTGGTTAATACTCAATAGAAGATATTTAATAATTGGTATCTAAACTATAGCTCTTTGGGTTTTTAAAAGAAGATTTTTTTCAGTTTTTACTATACACATAGGGAAAATCAATGACCCCCGGGTGGGGCCAATTTTAATCCCAGGGCTCTTATTTGTACAAACTTGGTAGACACCAATTAGAAGATGTTTCATGCTAAATATCTTAGCTCTAGCTCTTTGGGTTTTTAAAAGCAGATTTTTTAAGTTTTTACTATACACATAAAGGGAAAAACAATGACCCCCCCAGGCGGGAACAATTTTGACCCTAGGGCTTTTATTTGAACAAACTTGGTAGACATCCACTAGAAGATGTTTCATGCTTAATATCTAAGCTCTAGCTATTTAGGTTTTTTAAAACAGGATTTTTTAAGTTTTCATTATATACATATAGGGGAAACAATGACCCCCTGGGGCGGGGCCAATTTTGACTGTAGGGCTATTATTTGAACAAACTTGGTAGACTCTGACTAGATGATGTTTCATGCCAAATATTTAAGCTCTAGCTCTTTCGTTTTTTTTAAAGAATGTTTTTTAAGTTTTTTCTTTCGGTTGCCATGGCAACCAGAGTTCTGCATGGAATTAAATTCTTTGAACAATTTTTAAAGTTCACTACCAAAGGAACATTCCTGTGAAATTTGAATGAAATTGGCTTAGGGGTTTATGAGGAGATGTCGTTTAAAGTAAAAGTTTACGAACGTACGCCGGACGAAAAGCGATTACAAAAGCTCACCATGTCACCTTGTGACAGGTGAGCTAAAAATCAGTACCAATAAACAAAATAACACTGGAGAGACATCTAAATTATATAGTAATTATATTTAGCCTACATGTTCATGTATTTTGACAATGAAAATGAGATTTTTATATCACTCAAGTTAAAATGCTCAACAAAATAATTATGATGTATAACATTATAAAAGTGTATGCATTATATCTTCTCATTTGAAATAGGTAAACCCAGAAATAAACATGTACAGTACATGCTATCCTCTGATATATTGCCTGGTTTTCTGTTTGACCACACTCATAAGACCAACCCTCTATTAAGACCAGATTCAGTGGTCTCATTAGCGAGTTTTTACTGTACAGTAAAGACTGTCTTAGCGACCCCCTGTATATAGCGACGTTCTGTCTATAGTGACCATAGTTAGGTGCGCCGAACAGTATTTACTATATAAATGGTCTGTATGTAGCGACTCCCTGTCTAGTCCGTACAACGACCATGATTTAGTCACCCGTTATGGTATTTGAGCCGTGAACAGCGACTTTTGCAAGGGGAGCATGGCTTGAACTAGGTGACGACTTTGGCGAAGAAGTCGCCTTCGGATCAGCGACTTTGCTTCAGTCGCCCGATTTTTATAATTTTCAGTCATTCTTATTTACGCCGCTAGGTCTGTTAATAATTTGTTTACCTCTGAATTACAACCAATTACCGTTAATCCGCTAATTAAGAACGCGTGTCAACATCAACAAAGTTCAATACACGCCGCAAGGCAAGAGTTCACTATGTTTATCTTTCTCATTACGTATTCATGATTGACGAATCAGAACGCGCGTTGTATCTACGGCAGTTTGCATTGACCAATCGGCGACACGCTAATACACTGTGGCTGTTTGTTGACAATTACACAATATGGCGACAAATTCAATCAATTTTCGCCGATAAAATGATTAAAGACACATGCATATACATAATTGCTGCGGTTTTTTTGGCGAGTAAAGATAAACAATGCCAAACGTCTTAAAGGTGTGGTTATGTTTGAAACCTCGATTGTTAATTTTTTTCGGAGCACTTATCTAGAAATTATGTGGAGATTTGTATCTAATGTTTTATTAATACATTGAACTCCGTAAAGTAAACAGGTTGATTATACAAAATTAAATGTCTCTACAGTAACATCTCATTAGTAAAATTGAAATTAAACATTTTTTACAAACAGATTAAAATTTTATCAATATAATTTACATTTTAATGAATATGTAACTTTTAGATACTAATGTTATGGTGTAGTTTATAATCTTAACCAATTATACATGCAATTTTAACTTAAACCCTTAGTATGGTACTATCCTGCTTTTCAACAAAATATTGGTATGATATGTTCATATATCCGATTTATATAGAGACTGTCCACAGTGACTCCCTGTCTATAATGACCTTTTTTCTTTTCTCCCATCGAAGGTCACTGTAAACAGTCTTTACTGTATTTAACTTTTCTTTGTGGAAGGGCTGATCGCTAAGGTTTTAAGATTTTGGGCTCAATCCTTGTGCTCAGAATTATTCTGAAAACTTGTTTTTTTTTATTATATTCACATGTATATATTAGCAATAAAATATATTGATATTTTAACTTACAAGAAATTCTTGTTTGTACCAGTCTGGATCTTCCCTCTTTCTGTTCTGTAAATATTCTGTAAATATAGCTACAGGAATCTCTGTGTTCATGTTGTAGTAATCCGACTCATCAGGCTTGGCAGCTAACAGTGGTGCAGACTCCTCCTTGGATAATTCATTCTTTGTATGAAATGTTTGTTTCTTTCCACTTGAAGTAGTTTCTCCTATTTAAAAAAATACAAATCACACAGTATACTTATTTCATGTTTGTACCTAATAACATATCTGATTGTAACAGTAAACTAAATGCATTTGTTACTGTGGCCATCATGAAACCAAGGACAGAATCGTTTCGAGACAGTCATCTTAACCACTAACTAGTCCATTCACAAAAGTAATTGACCTCATTGTGGCCAATTACATGTTGGGACAAGTTTTGTGACAGACGAACAGACAGACGGACAGTGCACAACTAGACTTGGTACTGATCATTCCTGTAAAGTTTGGATGAAATTGCACCAGTAGTTTATGAGGAGTAGTCCGGACAAGCTTTTGTGTATCTGGCAACACACAGAAAACAAGAGCGATCAGTGATCACATGTGTCACCTCATGATGGCCAATTTCATGTTGGGACAAGTTTTGTGACAGACAGACAGACAGTGCACAACTAGACTTGGTACTGATCATTCCTGTAAAGTTTTGATAAAATTGCACCAGTAGTTAATGAGGAGTAGTCCGGACAAGCTTTTGTGTATCTGGCAACACACAGAAAAAACACCTTTTTATCAAAGGGCCCTAACTCTGACAAAAATCATTCAACCGGAAAACCCGTGCAATATGCGCAACAACTTGAGCTACAGATCAATCCTGTAAAGTTTCATTGAAATTGCATTAGTGGTATAATAGAAGTAGTCCGGACAAACTTTAAAAATAAAAATTATTAAAGGGCCATAACTCTGACAAAAATTATTGAACCGGAAAATGCTGTCAATATGCACAACTAGACTTGGTACTGATCATTCCTGTAAAGCTTGGATGAAATTGCACCAGTAGTTTATGAGGAGTAGTCCGGACAAGTTTTGTGACGAACAGACGGACAGACAGACAGACGACAGAAAAGTGATCCTTATATGTCGCCACTACTCCGTAGAGGGGACACAAAAATCAGTGAAAAACAAGCAAAATTTAGACATTTAACCTTGAAGGTCAAGGTCATATATGGATGAAGGTCAAGATTAGTGTGGTCTATTAAAAGGTATTGTCCCATCGGTTGTTGTGGCCAAGTATGAAGACATTATATCAAGAACTTAAAAAGTAAAGATCAACATACAAGTTTGCGGACGGCAACGCCAACATGACTATAACAATACCTCTACCTTTCTTTTTTTCAAAAAAAATAGTCAAGCTAAAAATGATACATATTCAACCAAATGTAGACAGTTAAGTTTGAAGCACTTTATTAAAGCAGTTAGAACAATAAGATAAAGAATACCATTGGACGTAAGGTTGATTATCTCGGGTCTAGTATGTTTTGTTCCATTCTTCTTATGATTTTCAGATTTATATGGCTGGTCTCTACAATATAAAATAACAGTTATATTTAACCCCTTTGCTCTGTAAAATACTCCAGTTTTCTATGTTTAATGCATGAGAAAAGAATAAAATACTTGAGAAGAATCTGGAAATATAGGATACGTTTAAAAACAATATCGGTTCCAGTGGGAAACAAAAAAGATAATCATTTAAACATACAGAAAAGGTAGACAGGATAAAATTTTTCCTATGAACAATGAGTATAAATATTTGTGTAATACTGAAAATTGGTAGAATATGGAAAATTTTCAAATACAGTATTGTTGGTATTAATCAATCTTAAGCATACCAATTTTACAGATTAAAACTGATGTTTTTGCTGAACACAAAATTTGTCCAAATGCAATGTATAATTTACAGGAGCCTCAGAGGAAACAACAAATATTATTATATACATGTATGTATATGTATGTTACAAAGTTTGCTTACTGATGAATAAATTAAAGATTTATAACCATACCTCTTGCGTAACACAATGTATATAGTAATTACAACAATAACCAGGAAAACCAGTCCTCCTAAAACAGCTCCAACAATAACACCAATATTGAACTCTGCAACATTGACTATTGCTGAAACAAAAAATATAGTACCTCATCTTAAATATTCACTAAGTTTTCAAAATATTTTGATAACTTGATCATGGTGACAGTGAACAACTTATAGTTGGTGTGCTACTTATGGCATTGATAAACCACACCCGGTGTCAGTGATCCAGTTGTGGTTTAAATTAACCATTTGTGGTGTCATTAAACCACTTGTAGTGTCTGTCGGCCACTCATGTTTGTAAACCACTCATTATGTTAGTGAGTGGCTTAAAGTCAATGATTAACTAATCATGCTAGTATCAGTGACTCACTCACCATGTCAGTGAAATGTGTAAATATACAATCTCTCACAGCTCTGTGATATAAGACATAATAATCACCTACCATTTATTAGGGGTATTGCAAAGAAAAATCAAAATCATATTGTGATATATATTGCAATGTCTAAAGACATAATTAATGCAATATATTGTGAACTATCTAAAATACTTGAAAATCAAGAGTAAAACCTACAGAACCTAGTCTTAAAGAGTTAATTGTTTAATATTAAGTCATGAGAGGCTTTTTAAAACAAGAACTGTGTCCAAAGGACACGGATGCCCCCACTGACAACATATATATGGTATATAGTGAAAAAATCAACAAAGGGCCATAGTTCTGTTAAATTTGGTCGCAGCAAAAATTACTTCCTTAACTTCCATCTACCCATTAAGGTTGTTCATCCCTGGAAGTTTAAGCAAAATCTGCCATCCGGTTTAAGAGGAATTGCATTCACAAAATTTCTATATGGTATATAGTGAAAAAATCAACAAAAGGCCATAATTCTGTTAAATTTGGTCGCAGCAAAAAATTCCTTCCTTTACTACCATCTACACATTAAGATTGTTCATCCTTGGAAATTTAAGCAAAATCTGCCACCCGGTTTAAGAAGAGTTGCGTTCACAAGATTTCGGGACGTACGGATGGACGGACAAGTGCAACGCTATATGCTCCCCACTTTGTGGGAGCATAAAAAGATTTCACAATGTGTTAAAAAGGCATTGTTAGTGAAGGAATTAAAACAACTTAATGTAAATGTCATTTGAAGTCAAGCTAATACAAGTTCACTACTTTTCAGTCTGTAACAGAATTTCATATTTTTATTAAAAGTTTATAGCTTCAATATATTGCGATATCTGAAAACATATTGCAATATAATATTGCCAGACAAATATTGCGATATCCAATATATTGCGATATATTACAAAACCCTATCATTTATCTGATGATCGAGGTAAACAGAGTATAATTTAATCCTTCAACAAACAAGACATACCAGACATATGCTATATAAATTTTTAATTATCTGAAAAAAAAAAAAATCAGAAATGCCACCAAAGATACCAAAACAAGAATTTGTAACAGAGTTACCAACGTCCCCCGCCTCGGAGAAGTTTTATATGAAGCATAAAATTATGCTATTTCAAAAGATTGAGGTATGGATTTCAGGACTTTTAGTCCAAAACTATTGCTAGATCTGCAAATGCAACAATAAATTTATGAAAGAAATACTAGTAAAATGAAACACAGAATTTAAAATTCTATCATATTACCCTTTGACCTCTAAGTGTGACCTTGACCTTGGAGGTAGAGGTGCACGTGTTGTGCATGACATAACATCTTATTAATATTAATATTTGTGCCAAGTATTTTCAAAATCTCTTTAACTATGTAGAAGTTATAGATCAGACACAAAATATACCCTATAACAGACTATGTCAATCTTTGACCTTTAAGTGTGACCTTGGAGGTAGGGACCCATGTTTTGCGCCTGACATATCAGCTTATTATTCTGATTAATTGTGCAAATTTTTTTTAAAATCCCAGGTTATGGACTGGACACAAAATACACCCTATAACAGACTATAAAAATCTTTGACCTCTATGTGTGACCTTGACCTTGGAGGTAGGGACACATGTGTTATGCATGACACATCATCTTATCATTGTGAATATTTGTGCGTAGTTATTTCAAAATCCTGAAGAAGTTCTAGATCAGACACAAAATATACCCTTAAACAGACTATGTTAACTTTTGACCTCTAAATGTGACCTTGAACTTGGAGGTAGGGATGCAGGTGTTGCGCAAGACACATTGTCTTATTATAGTGACTATCTGTGGCAAGTATTTACAAAATCCTTTGATCTATGAAAAAGTTATGGACTGGACATAAAATATACCTTGTAAAAGACTATATTAATCCCTGCCCTCCAAGTGTGACCTTGACCTTGGAGGTAGGTGACCTATTGTTGCGCATGACACATCATCTCATTATTGTACACAATTGTGTAAGTATCTACAAAATCCCTACAAAGATAAGAAAGTTATGGACCGGACACGACATATACCATTAAATAGACAATGTTGACCTTGAATGAGCAAGTGCGACCTTGACCCTGGAGGTAGGGATCTGGTTGATATGCATGACACATTGTCTATTATAACAAACATTTGTGCCAAGTTATTTCAGATTTCTTTGATAAATGAAAAAGTTATAGACTGGACACAAAATATACCCTGTAATAGACTATGTTAATCCCTGCCCTCCAAGTGTGACCTTGACCTTGGAGGTAGGTGACCTATTGTTGCGCATGACACATCATCTCATTATTGTACACAATTGTGGCAAGTATTTACAAAATCCCTTCAAAGATAAGAAAGTTATGGACCATACACGACATATACCATGAAAAAGACAATGTTGACCTTGAATGAGCAAGTGCGACCTTGACCCTGGAGGTAGGGATCTGGTTGATGCGCATGACACATCGTCTTATTATAACAAAACATTTGTGCCAAGTTATTTCAGATTCCTTTGATAAATGAAAAAGTTATGGACCGGACACAAAATACATGTATACCCTGTAATAGACTATGTTAACATTTGACCTCCAAGTGTGACCTTGACCTTGGAGGTAGGTGACCGGTTGTTGCGCATGACACATCATCTCATTATTGTGAACAATTCTGGCAAGTATTTACAAAATCCCTTCAAAGATAAGAAACTAATGGACGGGACACGACATATACCATCAAATAGACAATGTTGACCTTGAATGAGCAAGTGCGACCTTGACCTTGGAGGTAGGGGTCTGGTTTTGCGCATGACACATCGTCTTATTATGGCAAACATTTGAGCCAAGTTATTTCAGATTCCTTTGATAAATGACAAAGTTATGGACCGGACACGAAAGTGTGACGGACGGACGGACGTTCCTACGAATGGTCATTTATTGGATACATCTTTTGTTTAAAAGTACCCAATAAGAGAACAAAAGTACCGAACAATACTGACGGAATGAATAGAATTACCCAACAAGTGTCCTCTTGTGTGTTCAAGGTACCCAACAAGTGTCCTCTCGTTTGCCCGGACAGAAGGACGTTCCATCATTTTGGCTTTAGGGGCTATTTTCTTTGTTATTTTCTTTGTTTTCTTAAGGGCTACTAGCTCCTAAACCCTTTGATCACGGAATGAACCTATTGTTCTCTTTTGTTCTCTTTACTGTTATATAGCCCCTCAACCCAAAATGTTTGCTCGGACGGACGGACGGAGCCTATTAATATATCCCCCTTTTTTCTTCGAAAAGGCGGGGGACAATAAAATGCTTAATTGGGTAAGAGCTGTCTAATAAGAAAGTGTTTGACTGGTGAAAGAAAAACATTTTGCAGGATAACAAAACGAAAAGAATATTGATTTTTCTTACTTTTTGGTACCTACAAAACAAAGAAATCTTAACAGCTGACTTACCTGTTTCACAAAATTTGCCTTTATATTCATTTTCACAACCATGGCTACATTCAGCTGTGAGTCTATCACATATTTGATGTTTGCAACTTTTGTTACATGTACTCTCACATGTATTATTGTACCAGCCTGGTATACATCCATCAGTACAATACCCATCATGCTGATCACAGCCTCCATTCTTGCTGATCTCCACAGTTGTATCAATAATCCCTGAATTTCTCAAACAAGTCTCTGAACAGTTCTTGTTACAAAATTCTCCATAGAAACCAGTCTTACATAAGCATGTCCCTGTTCTCCTTTCACAGCGTAATTCACAATTTTTTCCACAATCCTTGTCACACATATCACCATAATACATGTCTTTGCATCCTCCACATATTCCACTATCTTTATCACAATCCTTTACACAATTTTCAGGACAAGGTTGCGTACATGTTCTCCCATAAAAACCAGATATACACTTCTCACAATCACCTGAAGTATGATTACATTTATTACCAAAACAATTTTTACTGCAATTATTCTCACACTTCAGTCCAAAAAAGCCAATTTTACATGCCACACAGTCACCTGTTTTTTTCTTACATCCTTTAGTACTGTCACAATTTTCAGCACATTGTAACATACAACTTTCATTGTAGAACCCTATAGTACAAGCCCCTGGGCACTTTCCATCTTCTATGTCACATTTAACCTCTCCAGATGATTCTTTCAAACAGTTTCCACACTGTTTGTCACAGACGTCAAACTTACCATAGTATCCACTCACACATTGTTCACAACTTCCGCTGAATTGGTGGCATCTCAAACAACGCTTTTTATCATCACAATCTATCTGACAGTGTATTCCTGACTTTCCATCAATGCAACCTTTAGAACAATTTCCATCAACACTACACCAAGAGTCTAAATCTCCCTCTCTGTTACAGTTGTGACTACACCGACATTTTCTTCCATCATAGCCAGCTTTACACTTTGTGCAGTCATCTGCTGATGTACATTCTAGGCACTGACCAGGGCATGTGCTATCACATCTAGGCCCGTAACGACCTTGTACACATTCAGAACAGTTGCTATAATGACTGCAAGCCATACATTTGTCCGAACATTTGATACATCCATTTTTAAGAAAAAAATATCCTTTTTTACAAGTCTTACACATGTCTTTACTATCACATGTTTCACATTGGTCTGGACATTCGTACTTACAATCCTCCCCAAAAAGTCCATTTTCACAAATCAAACATTTTCCACCTGTATCACATTTTTTGCACTTACTAACACTGCAATCTTCCGTACATGTTTTACCAGAGTATTTTTCTAAACAATGTGTACACTCAGTCTTGCTGATACACTTTTCACAATGTATAGGACATTTTTCATCACAATTGGACCCATATGTGGCATTAGTACAGCTTGCACAACTCAAGGATCCATCTTTAACTTCACACTCATTACAATTTTTGATCGTACTACTGCATTTCTGGTCACACATGCTGCCATGAAAACTCATATCCATGCAACCTTGTTTACAGGTGCCATTCCTTTCACATTTTTCATCAATACAATTTGTGTTACACTTTATTTCACAAAAATCACCATAATTTGTATCATCACACTTTCCGCATATACCTGACATCATATCACATCCTTCACCAATTACACAAGTCTGATTGCATTTATGTTCACACTTGCTTCCATAATAATTCATCTGACAACCATCTGATGTACAGTTTCCTGTGTCCTTATAGCAAGCAGTCTTACAGGTGCTACATGGTTTGTCACATTTATCTCCATGTAATTTCGGTTTACATTCTGTACAGGTTCCGTCTGGTAAGCAGGAAATTGTTTTACAGTTGACTGGACAGGAATCTTTGCAGGTCTTTCCATAAAAACCCTCTTTGCAATTCCCAATACATGTTCCATCTGCTTGCTCACACCCTGCACTGTCACAGTTACTAGGACATGTTTTGTCACAACCATCTCCATAGTAACCAAGCTTACATATACCAGTACCTAAAAGTAGAAATTATATTATAATATATTTCAATATAGAACAGTTGATTACATGCTTCCCAGTAAAAAGTGAACATATTCTTGTGAAGTTATCAAAAATAATTTTGCATTAGCTCAACTGTATATGAACTAGGGATGGCCACAAGTAACCGGTTAACCTAGTACTCGATCAAACTTCCGAAATATTGGTTAACAAAATTGATATTCGATTACTCAGAAAAAATACATAATTTCTATTTTTTGCGATTTAAAAGATTGGTGTATCCAATTAGTTCAGAAATTTGGAGATGTACATGTATCTTCACACAAGTACCTGTTAAATGCAATCAAAACATTTTTGCAGAGGTGCGAAAATGATATCTTAAATTTAACGAGGCGATCAACAGTTTGACACCCGCACCAGTGTCGCTTATTTCATCCAGCCTTTTATGATATTTAATTACCTTTAATTGTGTAACAGGTTGTAGCCAAAGTAACTGTTATGAAAACAACAAAGGGCTATTATGAATGTGTGAATAAAGGTAACTAGTATGTAGACCCGATTACACTTTTGTTGCCAGCGATCAGTCTATATTATTTCAAGAAGAAACAAGAGCACCGCTAGGCGGAGCATTATATGCCCAAAAGTGTTTTTCTTTTGTTAGTAAGGATGAAACATTTGTAAGACATGGGAATTAAATACAGTTTTACCTCCTTCAAAAAGCAATCCTCCTTTTAAGCTGAAGAACCTTCATATATAATTATACAGTTGCTGTTTTCAAAGCACCAGCATCAAGTTGTATATATGCTCTAGAAACCACAACTTTTAGTGTAAAGATCTTTGTGACCCTGACCTTTGACCTTATGACCCTAAAATCAATAGGGGTCATGTATTGGAAATGGCTGTTCATCCTATAAAATTTTACAGCTGTAGGTTGATTAATACTTAAGTTATTGAGCGAAAACTGTTTTCAGTTTTAAGGTCATAGTGACCTTGACCTTTGACCTTGTGACCCCAAAATCAATAAGGGTCTTCTACCCAACATGGACAATCATCCTATGAAGTTTGAATACTGTGGGCCAAATGGAACTTAAGTTATGCTCCGGAAACCATTTTCAGTTTTAAGGTAATACTGACCTTGACCTTTAATAATACTTAAGTTATGCTCTGGAAACCATTTTCAGTGTTAGGGCAATAGTGACATTGACCTTTGACCTTGTGACCCCAAAATCAATAGAGGTCTTCTACCGATTATGGACAATCATCCTATGAAGTTGTAAGACTGTGGACCAAATGGAACTTAAGTTATGCTCCGGAAACCATTTTCAGTGTTAGGGCAATAGTGACCTTGACCTTTTGACCTTGTGACCCCAAAATCAATAGGGGTCTTCTACCCAATATGGACAATCATCCTACGAAGTTTGAAGACTGTGGGCCAAATGGAACTTAAGTTATGCTCCAGAAACCATTTTCAGTGTTAGGGCAATAGTGACCTTGACCTTTGACCTTGTGACCCCAAAATCAATAGGGGTCTTCTACCCAATATGGACCATCATCCTATGAAGTTTGAAGACTGTGGGCCAAATGGAACTTAAGTTATGCTCTGTAAACCATTTTCTGTGTTGGGGCAATAGTGACCTTGACCTTTGACCTTGTGACTCCAAAATCAATAGGGGTCTTCTAACCAATATGGGCAATCATCCTATGAAGTTTGAATACTGTGGGCCAAATGGAACTTAAGTTATGCTCCGGAAACCAAATTGCTAATGGACGGACGCCAGGGGGTAAAACATAATATGCCCAAAATTCTTTCTGGCATATAAAAAGATATATGAACTGTTATACATGTTTTACACTTGAAATTGCATTCATTAAAACGTTGTAAAATATAATGTTGTTGATTCAATCTTAATTAATTTGTCTCCTGCGCAGTCCTATTTGTAAATAGAAAACGAGAGTAGCATGCGGACGGTGTTGATATTGTGTGATAAACTCTGAAGATCATTGGAAATCATCAGAGTAACCAAGTACTCGATTGGAGAAATGACCGAGTACTCGAGTATTGATTTTAGTATTTGTTGCCATCCCTAATATGAACATAGATGGAAATAACAAAAGTAAAAGGAGATTCCATCAGAAAAAAACTCATTAACATATGCATTATCATGGGAAGCACATAAATATCTCCACATGTCATGTAATTTTACATAAATACTGTTCCTATTTCATCTTACAATTAAACTTAATATACTGTGCAATAATCAATTAAGCTTGCAAGCTGCCTCCAAAACTGAAGTTGACTAAGATAACATTACAATGTTAACTTACATTTTCCATCGTCTCTGTCACACTTAACATCTTCACAATGACCACACTGTTGATCACAGTTACTACCAAAGGTTCCATTAGAGCAACCTAAAATATATCAATTTCATGATAAGAAAGCTGAGAAAAAATATTAAGTCAGACTTGTTTGAAAGATATAAGGATGTAATTCTCTGTATGTTTTTTCTCTGCATTATTTGAGGCACAATCGGTAAAATAATATAGCTCCTCCTATTTGTATAGAACTACATTAGTTGCACAGGATCCTTCCATGAATTAAAACAATGTGACTGGAAGGATTCAGTCTACCCTATAAAAGGCCCTGCTTCATGTGTGCAATACTACATTTTATGTTGGTGAACATTTGTGTAACACTGAGATCCACCTTTGCATGAAGAAGATAAATTCTGAACAAATCTTTACATATAATCATCTCAGATGACCTTGACCTGACATATACTGACCTGAATTACCCTGACATCTTTGGTGACCTGTCATATATTGACCTGAATTATTCTGAAAATATCCAGTCTAATCACTTAACATTTTTGATAAAATCCCACAATTCAAAACTGCTAAACTGTTCTTAGACAGATATAATATTCCTATGCAACCCTTGACCCTATGTGTGACCTTTACCTTGGAAAGAAGACCTGAAATTTGCGTGCACTACACTTCATTTTGGTGTATATTTGTGCCATATTATATTAAAATCTTTAAATGCATGTAGAAGTTTTGTTCAGGACCAGCATTTTCCTTTGACCTCTAAAATTGACTTCTACCTTTGACGTACAGACTCGATTCATATGCTCCAGACAACGCTGGAAATTTTTTAATCAATTGACATCATTTGCTTAAAACTTTATGGCAATTTAATATAAAATGTTAAAGTAGTAGTAGCCGTAACACAAACTGGTCGGATTTTAAACTTTTGAATATATTGTACATATTTTCGGCCAAAAATTAGTGTCATGCAGGTGTTCATCTTGAAGATTTTTTAAAGTTTTTACTATATACATATAGGAAAAAACAATGACACCTTCCCCTCTCCTTCACTCCCACCCCACCCCGGGAGGGGCCAATTTTGACCCCAGGGCTTTTATTTAAACAAACTTGGTAGACATTAACTCGAAAATATTTCATGTTTAGTATCTAAACTCTAGCTCTTTTGGTTTTTTAAAAGAAGATTTTTTTAAGTTTTTACACTCTACAAAATAATAAGAATCAATGACCCCCTGGGGGCGGGGCCAATTTTTACCCCAGGGCTTTTATTTTAACAAACTTGGTAGAAATTCACTAGAAGATGTTTCATGCTTAATATCTAAGCTCTAGCTATTTGGGGTTTTTAGAAGAAATTTTTTTAAGTTTTTACTATAGACAAATAATCAATGACCTCCCAGGGCTGGGCCAATTTTGACCCTAGGGAATTGATTTGAACAAACTTGGTAGACACCCACTAGAAGATGTTTCATGCCAAATATGTAAGCTCCAGCTCTTGCAGTTTTCTAAAAGAAAATATTTTAAGTTTTAACTCTATACAAATAAGGAAAATCAATGACCCCCCCAGGGCAGGGCCAATTTTGACCCCAGCGCATTTATTTGAACAAACTTGGTAGACACCCACTAGAAGATGTTTTATGCCTAATATTTAAGCTCTAGCTATATGGGGTTTTCAAAAGAGATTTTTTTTAAGTTTTTACTATATACAAATAAGGAAAATCAATTACCCCCCCCCAGGGCAGGGCCAATTTTGACCCCAGGGCATTTATTTGAACAAACTTGGTAGACACTGACTAGTTGATGTTTCATGCCAAATATTTATGCTCTAGCTCTTGCCGTTTTCTAAAAGAAGATATTTTAAGTTTTTTCTAAATACAAATAAGGAAAATCAATGACCCCCCCCCCCCCCCCCCGCAGGGCAGGGCCAATTTTTACCCCAGGGCATTGATTTGAACAAAACTGGTAGACATCCACAAGAAGATGTTTCCTGCTTAATATTAAAGCTCTAGCTATTTGGGGTTTTTTAAAAGAAGATTTTTTTAAGTGTTTACTATATACAAATAAGGAAAATCAATGACCCCCAGGGGCGGGGCCAATTTTGACCCCAGGGCATTTATTTGAACAAACTTCGTAGACACTGACTAGGTGATGTTTCATGCCAAATATTTTAGCTTTAGCTCTTGCGATTTTCTAAAAGAAGATATTTTAAGTTTTTTCTTTTGGTTGCCATGGCAACCAGAGTTCTGCTTTGAATTAAAATTCTTTGAACAATTTTTAAAGTTGACTACCAAAGGAACAGTCCTGTGAAGTTTGGATGAAATTGGCCTAGTAGTTTATGAGGAGATGTTGTTTAAAGTAAAAGTTTACGGACGGACGCCGCACTAAAAGCGATCACAATAGCTCACCATGTCACTTTGTGACAGGTGAGCTAATAAAAAGCAGTGAAAATGAATGATTAAAAATTTGCACTGAAGTGACTTATCTAGGCCTTCATCACCTGAAACATTAATTTCAAAAAATTCTCTAGTTATGTCAAAAAACCTTCGTGGAGTCTCTTTAATATAGAAGTCACATGGTGGGCATAAGAACTAAAAGTATCAAATAAAACAATGCATGTAAACTTTTAAAACATACTTAATTTTGTTTCTAAGCAACAGAGCTACATGCAAAAAATAAACTTATATCATAGTAATTGTTTTGTTTACTTTGCTCTTGCTCTTTTACAGAATTTCAACTGTCTAAAATTTACTGTGTCACGCCCAATATTTCATTATAGTATTGTTATTTTTTTTAGAGTCTTTAATATGACTTATTCAAAGTATTGCTAGTGAACTTGAAAGACGCTGAATTTATATAGTCCTTTATTATAACCAGACTCAATCAAATTAAGTTGGCAGTTTTCACTTATTTTCGTTGCTATATTAGGAGCTCTTCTTTCCATAATTCTGTCCTCTCCAAAATCAACCTACTTCTAATATTTTGGGCAAACCTTTAACTTGTAACAAATTTCTCACTAAAAAGCTTACCTATGTCAGATAATACCTTAACCTCCGTCAGTTCAAGATTTGGAAAATTTGACCAGCTGTCGTTTGAAGAATTGGATCGCTTGTTGACTAAATTGACATATCTAGCTTTGAATTTAGGTGTCACAGTTATAGTTGGATCACTGGAGTTACTTTCATGTATCAGCTCCCCATCTAATGGACTATCAGTAGCATTGATAGCATTGTCTGATAAAGTTATAATCAAACCTGGTCGTCGCCTTTCTATTCGTGCAAGTGTTTTAGCATCTTTGTTATCTTTTAATTAAGACAAAAAATACTTATTTATTGTAAACAAACAAACAGACAGAGCCATGTAAAGTTTTAATAGTTATTGCACCATAGGTGCTGATATTTATAGAAAAAATATCTTAAGATCCAAATCAGTTTCTAAATCATCATTTTTATATCTATACCAATTTCAACCCCAGGGCTTTTATTTAAACAAACTTGGTAGACACTAACTAGAAAATATTTCGTGCTAAGCTTCTAAACTCTAGCTCTTTTGGTTTTTTAAAAGAAGATTTTTTAAGTTTTTACTCTATAGAAAATCAATGACCCCCTGGGATGGGGCCAATTTTTACCCCAGGGCTTTTATTTTAACAAACTTTGTAAACATTCACAAGAAAATGTTTCATGCTTAATTTCTAAGCTCTAGCTATTTGGGGTTTTTAAAAGAAGATTTTTTAAGATTTTACTATATACAAATAAGGAAATTCAATGACCCCTCGACGCGGGGCCAATTTTGACCCCAGGGTATTGATTTGAACAAACTTGGTAGACACTGACTAGGTGATGTTTCATGCCAAATATCTAAGCTCTAGCTCTTGCGGTTTTCTAAAAGAAAATATTTTAAGTTTTTACTACATACAAATAAGAAAAATCAATGACCCCCCGGGGCCGGGCCAATTTTAACCCCAGGGCATTTATTTGAACAAACTTAATAGACACCCACTAGAAGATGTTTCATGCTTAATATTTAAGCTCTAGCTATTTGGGTTTTTTAAAAGAAGATTTTTTAAGTTTTTACTATATACAAATAAGGAAAATCAATGACCCCCAGGGACTGGGCCAATTTTGACTCCAGGGCATTTATTTGAACAAACTTGGTAGACACTCACCAGAAGATGTTTCATGCTTTATATCTAAGCTCTAGCTATTTGGGTTTTTTAAAAGAAGATTTTTTAAGTTTTCACAATATACACAATATACATATAGGGAAAACAATGACCCCCTGGGGCGGGGCCAATTTTGACCCCAGGGCATTTATTTGAACAAACTTCGTAGACACTGACTAGGTGATGTTTCATGCCAAATATTTTAGCTTTAGCTCTTGCGGTTTACTAAAAGAAGATATTTTAAGTTTTTTTCTTTTGGTTGCCATGGCAACCAGAGTTCTGCTTTGAATTAAATTCTTTGAACTTTTTTTAAAGTGGATTACCAAAGGAACATTCCTGTGAAGTTTTGATGAAATTGGCTAAGTGGTTTATGAGGAGATGTCATTTAAAGTAAAACTTTACGGCCGGACGCCGGACGAAAAGGGATCACAAAAGCTCACCATGTCACTTTGTGACAGGTGAGCTAAAAAACCGTAAGTGCCTCTCTCTGCATTATTTTATGCATAAGCAGGCATCAGTGTATAAACACCAAATTTCCTAAAGCTAGCTTGGTAAATACAAGAATCCAAAGTCCATTAAGGAATTTGAACCCTGAGTGGTGAGGAATAAGTACAATGTAATACAAAGTCAGTGACTCTTACTCATTTCTTGTTAAATTACTTGACAATAGATCATACAATACCTGGGTTATAGAAGTCAACAATAATCCTGTAAATGTTGTGTGCCTGTCCAAGGTCAACATACCACCAGACTGTGCCAATTCCACCTTTTTTCTGTACCCATGAATTTGTCGTTATATTGCCATCAACAGCATTGCTACTTTCTAGTCCAGCCTTTGTTTCAGGGCCTTGATCAGTGAACTTAGACAGAGCAATATTTTCTGCAAAAGAGTAAATTATCATTCAGTCAACAATTAAGTTATCATTCTTAAGTATCAAATGAAGTATGTTTGAAAATGACTACCTGTGAAATCTTACATTGAAAGAGATAGTGGGCCGTCTTAAAAATTTTGCTTTTAATATTTTCCATTGACATTGTATTGAACATGGCTGCCACATGTGTTCTGCACATTGTCTAAATGTTATAAATTCAATCACAATTCTGTGAAAATCCCAGTACAGGTAGTGGAAATATGGGCAGTGTTTTTTTCTCACTTTTTGGGGAAGGGGGTCGGTGCCGTTTGGAGGGGGAAAATGCAAAAGGAGGGGGAATTTTATTTCTTCACAAATGAAGAAACAAAAAACGAATCCAATGCATATTTCAATACATCACTTACCACTGTAAGATTTACTTTTGTTTGACATTGTTTTTCTTTCCCGTGAGTAGAAAAGGGGAGCAAATCTTGCAACACAAGTTTAAAATACGTCACTTTTTCTTAATATACGGATCTAAAATATTGACAGCAGAATTTAAAGAGTCGCATGTTAAACTTGTTTGGACGCCAGGAATAGCTCCCCTTACATGTTTGTTTGTTTGTTCTATTTTACGCCTTTTTCCAACAGTATTTCAGTCATATAGGCGGGTAGTTTCCTAACCATCGTTCCTGGAGAGTTAAACCAGTACTAGACTACCTTCCTCCGCGCTAAACTACCAAAGCATCTCCCGGGGATCGAACCCACGCCAGAGAGGTTACTGGATTAGAAGTCATCGACTCTAACCCCTCGACCACGGAGGCAGTCTAGCTCCCCTTACATACCCGGGAACAATTTGTAAACAACTTTGCTTAACAGTAAGTCTTACAGGCTTAATATAAAACATTTTTCGGCAGTTATATGCAAAAAAAAATGGTATCCATAACAGGCAAATTTTGGCTGCCATATGAGGGGGAAATTTCGGCTTTGAGAGGGGAAAAAACATACTATTTTGAGGGGGGAATTGGGCCGAATTTCACCGAATATTTTGGTGAAAAAAAACACTGATGGGAAGGGCATATGTTGAACACAACCTGAATGTTGTTAAATATATAAGATGCATTTAATCACTGAACTTAGTTTGAATTTATTTGGTCAGGTGAGCTCAAATAACAAAGATACCTACCTAACTGGACTTGACAGGTAGGACCTGCCCATAACTGACTACAAGAATCACACTGTCCATCATTTGGACAGTTTTGGTTATCCTTACAGTGACAATCGAGGACACATTTATCTCCAAATTTCCCTTCATCACACTGGCCATTCACATCTAAAATTTAAAGTTCATAGAATTAGGGTTTAGAAACGAAAGTACTTTTATTGAATTAAATTATATCATATCACTTTGCTTTGTTTTGTTTTTTTTAAATGCTTTGGTGTTGGTTCAAAATGTTCCTTACCTGCTGAAATAATTTAAAGGCCATATAAACTAAAGTGCCAACTCTATTTTTAGCAATGGCAATGGTGACCTTGACCCCTAACTCCTTACAAAGTAAGACCATCCAAGGTATGTTTCTACAGCATATGAAAGACACTGGTCAGTGACGCTAAATAAGCAAGTGTAAAAATCTATTTTTAACACTGGTAATATTGACCTTGAACCAAGTGACCTTAAACTCTACCAACTGATGGCTGACTCAAGAAAATTGACATTGTTCTAAAAATTGCCCAAGTTACATGTCACTAGACCTGTCAAAAAGTTCAAGTAGGTGAGCAAATTTGAGTCATAGTTCTTATTGACTGTAATGGAAACATTTAACATACTAAACTTTCTCAGTGCTTGATGATAAAACAATTGCCTGCATAATGTAAGAATTAACAAACAGGACAACTTTTTAAAAAAAAAAATGACATAGTTATGAGAATCAGCTACTGACCAAAGAATTGAATATTAAACAAGGGGCTATTATTCCTGTAAATCCATGCAAGAAGAATGGGTCTTAGAAAATGACCTTCAATTGACTTTGTAATCACAAAAACATGAATTAAGTTTCAAATGAATATCATCTGCATTTTTTGAAAGATTAATGTTCAAAGGGCCTTAATTTAGTCATAATCCATGTTAGAACTACAGACCTGAGAAAGTTACCTCCAATAATGATGTCAAAGGCAGATATAAAGTTTTAAAGAGAGGTATGAGCCTTAGTCAGTGACCTCCACTTATGATCATAGACATTTATGAAATTTTAAGTGAATATCCTCAGAAGTTCTGAAAACTGATGTTGCAAGTAAAACTGTAACTAAGTTTTCAAAGGGCCATAATTCTGTCAAAATCCGTGCTAGAGTAATGGGCATTATCTTGATTTACATTCAGAGATTTCACATAGTATATATCATTCTTAGAGAGCATTTTTGATCTGTTACCACTGTATTAAATGAATACATACACATTTACAATAGGATGGAATAGCAGCATGTAAATCCCTACAGTAGTTTGACCTGTGAAACCCTAAAAAGATTTTTCTATTTTAGCTCTGGCGGCAAATTTGTGCACTGAAGCAGAACTTGCCTGTAGTATGCATAGCAAGGGTTAAGTTGATAATGATCACTCCTATTAACTTTCCTTGAAATCCTGCCAGATGTATGACCTGTGACAGCCGGACAAGGTTTTTCTATTTATAGCAGCCATTTTGTGCAGTGAAGATGAAGACGTTATGCACAGCAAGGGTTAGTACTGATCACTCCTGAGAAGTTTTGTTGAAATCTTGCCAGCAGTGAAAGCAGGACAAGATTTTTATATTTTTAGCTTAGTCAGCTGTTTTGTGCAATGAAGAGTAACATGCCAGTGATATGCACAACTCAGATTGGTACTTATCACTTCTATGAAATTTTGTTCAATCCCTTCAGCAGTATCAACTCTGAAATCCTGACAAGATTTTTCCATTATTAACTTTCATTGTTGGCAAATAATTTAATAATCTTGATAGTAATATGCTCGTTCATTCAAAGATATATTTAAAATAAGGATGAGTCATTGTTTTGTTAGTTTGTCTTTTTGCACATGTTATTGGTCTAAACCTACATCAAATGGAACATTAATCTCGAAAAATTATTTCCAGCCCTGTCAATCCAAAAAACCACAGTGGAATCACTTTTAATATCCGTCTTGTCTTATTTTTCATTTATGAAACAGCATGGACTAAACGCTGGTACTTTTAATATTTAAGCATGTTTTTATTGTGTTGCCCTTATATCTGTACTAAGGTGGTATTATTGAAAAACACTTTCACAGGCCTCAGGCCTAAAAAAAGGTTATTTTCTGGTTACATCTGAAACAATGGGTCGGTAGGTAGGCATTTTTTTATCTTTTAAATGGGTAAGGCAGGATTCAGCATCCTGGTGTGTGGATTTATACCATTTTCTTGTGTTGCTTTTTATATAATTATATCAAGTTAACTGATTTATAAATACATGTCATTTTCTTTCAGGTTAACTTTAATGAAGAATGTATTAGAGGTATTGAAAATGATAGTATCAAAAACAATCAAGAGCCACCACCTGGAATGGGGTGGGGAGCCATAATTTCTTATTTCTAAAGAGAGGAATTGATAATTATGTTTTGTTGCTTATTGATTATTAACAAAAATATGTCTTAAGCATTTTAGCTGGTGACAAAAAATGAAATATTTCGTACAACACTTACAAACAATACTTCACCAGTATTGCAGGCACTAAAGGTTCTTGAATGATGGACGATTCACATTCATGCAAATAAATGCTCTGATTGGCAACTTAACAATAATTGCTTGGGATTTAATGTTTTTTTTATCTCTGATTCACTTTTTCTGTAATCGTCGGAGATTGGCTTATTCAATTGATTGAATTGAACTGACAAAACTGCACATAAAACCATGATATTGATATTCTGGGCTACAAACTGATATGCTGGGCTAAAATCTATCCAGATCTACTTATTTCCTTTATGTAGATCTGATGACGACAGTATATGTTTCCCCTTCATTATAATTCTGATTTCCCTGCAGAAAAAGCTATTTTTAACCATGCAATGCAATCAAATGGGTTTTTACATAGGCATAAGAAGAAATCAACATACCGTTATCCATGGATTTTTGTTAGAAAAAAAAATGTTTAAAGTAATTTTTAACAAAGTAACTTGAAATAATACAGTCAATTTTCAATGGGCAAGATTGTTTTGCCAGTTTTCCTGTAGGCTGTATGGACAATGCCATGTTTGTTCTCGAAATTGTGAAAAATGACCTACTCAGTATTGGTTTTCACAGGGTTAAAATTAGAAACCATATCACTTTGAAAATTATGAAAGCTCATTGATGATTGGCTAATGATTGGACACCAGAAATGATTTCATATTTGGTCATGGTCAGATCTAAAAGCAGAGCATTATTTAGAGCTGATTTTAATCAGAATGCAAACTATTAGATTTAGGATACATCATAAGGGACACATTAAATAATGTATTAAAAACGTATTTTCACAGAAATTTGAGCTATTTTCGTACGTATGTATTTTCAGCTCAAACTGCACTTTTAAAAATATTTTTTGGGTTCTCAAATTTTACCTACCTACCAACCCTCCTTTTTTGGCCTCGCCACCAGAAACACATCAATTTTTTATAGGCCTAAATAACAATGATTTCTGTACGGGAACTACTTGCATGCCAGTATTAAAGTGACATTATGCCCATCCATTGAAGGGTATAAATGGGTAAACAGGTGGAAGTCAAAATAAGTTTTCATTTTGCCATAATTCATTTTTATATAAAAAGTTACTTCACATTAGCGATAAACAACGCACAGATTTAAACAAATCTATCGTAAATATCCATTAGAATTTACATGTAATGTTCAGTTTATAAAAAGAGTGGGGCAGTCACAAACTTGACACTTACTAGAAGATGTTTCATGCTTAATATCTAAACTCTAGCTATTTTGGTTTTTTCAAAGAAGATTTTTAAGTTTTTGCTATACACATATAAGGAAAATCAATGACACCAGGGGCGGGACCAGTTTTGACCCCAGGGCTTTTATATGAACAAACTTTGTAGACACTCACTAGAAGATGTTTCATGCTTAATATCTTAACTCCAGCTATTTGGGTTTTTTCAAAGAAGATTTTTTAAGTTTTTGCTATACACATATAAGGAAAATCAACGACCCCGGGGCAGGGCCAATTTTGACCCCAGGGCTTTTATTTGAACAAACTTGGTAGACACCCATTAGAACATGTTTCATGCTAAATATCTTAGCTCTAGCTCTTTGAGTTCTATAAAAGAAGATTTTTGAAGTTTTTACTATATGCATATAGGGAAAATCAATGACCCCCTGGGGCGGGGCCAATTTTGACCCCAGGGCTTTGATTTGAACAAACTTGGTAGACACTCATTAGAAGATGTTTCATGCCAAATATCTAAGCTCTAGCTCTTAGGGTTTTTTAAAAGAAGATTTTTTAAGTTTTTCCTATTGGTTGCCATGGCAACCAGAGTTTTTAATGGAATTTAAATTTTTGAACAATTTTGAAAGGGGTCCACCTAAGGATCATTTCTGTAAAGTTTGGTTGCAATTGGCCATGTGGTTTAGGAGGAGATGTTGTTTGAAAAGTTTGACGCCATTTTTTGAAGGACGCACGATGCATGACGCACAACGCACGATGCACGACGCAAGCAGAGTGATGACAAAAGCTCACCCTTGAGCACTTTGTGCTCAGGTGAGCTAAAAAAAATAGGAAACAAAAACGTGTTTACTTAATATCATAAGCTTCTAATTAAATCTTCCGTGTAAGCGCATTGATTGCTGCCGAAATTCATTTGCATGTGTCATACGTTTTTTTTTCTTCTATCAAATAGAAAGACCTTGTCTGTGCATTATCTAGTTAAACTTAAAGTAATAAAGAACAGAATTTAAATATGTAGAAATACTCGCAATTCTACTGATAAGAAAAGCTTGTGAAACTGTCAATCCTGGGATTATAAATAATTTCAATAATTACAATAAATAGTGTTAACACAAACATAAATATTAATAATTGAAACGTGGGCCGAGTTGACCCGTGCCGAGTTGGAATAGGGCCGAGCTGATTCGGGGGGCCGTGTACGTTTTAGGGCCGGGCTGACCCGGATTCCTATCTAACATGTCACACCCAATAATTGTGCGCTTTTGGGTCTTTTTTATTATATAGATGCTGGTCGCCCTTCGCAAAAACCGACATTTATGTATGTCAGATTGTAAAATCGGTCGGTCTAACCGTCTTGCAGTTGAACTAGTCTGACATGTCGAACTTCAAAAAACCATAACAAAAACATTTAACTCACATGCAACAAGACTTGTTAACAGACAAATTAAAATCAACGATTTTTCTATTCTCAAAAAGAGGTATGATTTTTTTCTAAACGTAGTCATCATGCCGCATTTTCATCTCTTTTTGTAAAGAATCGATTTAATATTCTTTCGCTTTCAGCTTCCAATGAACTTCCTGTTTTCTTTGTCTCAAGAGTAACTTCCCTTTAATAAATCACAACAAAGACTCTCCATATACCATAAAGAGAAAAGATAAAGTGTAAAATATTTTGTACCATAAGAACTGGCATTGTTATCATTTATTAATTAGATAATTATCGTTTCTGTTTATTACAATGATTTAGGTCGACAAGAAATAAAGAAAAAAATTGGCTTTATTAAGTAATCTACCATAATTCAGCGCTGAACGTTCTATTCTTTAATATCCATCATCAAATTGCATATATAATTAGTTGTTACAGCTTTAAGATAAAGCAATATATAAGAAGTGCTTTTAGGTTTTTCTTTAATGATCGAGACACGATGAAACCCATCTTTCACCACACCAAGATGGAGAGACTTGTGAATATCTCCGACGACCACTCACTCTGACGGCGGTATAAGACATCAAGGCCAGTACGTTGCAGAACCTCTTTGGTCTACGGATCATACAGACTTCTGCGATCAAACCTCTGAAAATGATGTCACATGATCGTCTGCTAATCCCATTTGCTGAACCCTAAATGGAATAAATGATTAAAAAATTAGTTTCAAATATGATATACAATATATGATTTTCAATTTTATAAAAAAGAGTTTGCATTATCATGAATATCTACAGTATATCTTGACACACGTGAAAAGTATTTTTTTTAAACATAACAAAATATCTTAGGCATGTTATTGTACATAGTCTTAGAACTACCAATTTTCACATGTCAACATCGCAATAGTATCTGATTTGTGTGTCAAATAATTTCGCTGAAAGCTAACATTTACTCAAAGTCGCAAACTTTAAATGAATGTGAAAAGAGTTTAAATCTAAGATTATTCTTCGAAATAGCGTATTTTGATCTGTAAATATACTTTACATTTACTAAAAAAGAGTTCCACTGAAATCAATGGTACAAAATAACTCCGCGGAAAGTCGCATAGTCAGTGAGTCTTTTCACGAGAGACAATAAAAATACAGCATCTCTAATTTATAAGTCAATACCACACAGCAACGAACTGATTTCCATTCTCAAAATTTTATGAAATAAGGGTACAAACTGGGATACATTGAATACTGGATAGCTACCAATCATTCATCCGCCGAATCAGTTGGTAATATAACTACATGTAAAAGAAGAATTGTATACAAGGTACAATTAAATGACATCTCAGGAAGCATGTCGGGAAAAGGTACCAATGTCAAAAAGGGAAGGAAGGCAGACCAATATTGGATGATATTGTTTCAATGTTTGGTCATAATTTCGGTCCATTTAAACATTGTGTCTGTGATCTCTTAATCAAGGAGATTCATACTTATGACATTCTACTGATTAAAAAAAACAAAAAAAAAACAACAACAACAAAAAAATCTGATAGACGAAATTGAATGTGTTTACGAGACGGAGTATTCGTACGTTTATGTAGGTATCAGAACATGCAGACACCTTTTTCACAATAGATCAGTTAATACTTACACAAGAATAGCAAATATCATGTTTGTTACAAGCCGACAAGTAAGTTCGTCTGTAATTTCTCATGTTTACAGGTACTGTGCAGCCATTTACGTAGGGGTTGGATTCGCATGTATATGTCACATTTGTTGTTAGACCTCCACAAATGACAACAGTAAGGACCAGTAGACACCCGAGAAACATCTTGCTGTTCCTACCAAAATCAAAGTTATTTTATCAAATAATAAGCTTGAACAATTATGATAGCAGGTCTCTTCAACTTTTGAATTTTCGTGTCTAAATTGAAAAGACAGAAATTATATTTGTCTTTAATTAATTCAATTTCAAAGTGTGGCATCTACATATATTTGATTAAAACATTTAGAAAATATTGGGGGGGGGGGAGGGGCTTGTAATGAACAATTAAAATTTCAGAATGCAGTTTACTTTATTGAAATAAGTGCGCATAATTATAAACCGGTAAGAGTGAAGTTGAAACCTACTGCATTTTTAGAACAAATCTGTATTTCCACAATACCTGTATATTATTACACTTGTATTCACATGCTCATAAAATGCTTAGATACCGATTCTATATAAGAAAACGCCATATAAAATAAAATATACAATACTTACTCCGTTTGAAAAATCCAAAGTTGATTACTTCATTCGAGTTTTAGAATCAAATGAAAGAAGAACGAGCACAGCATACATAAATAATACAAAAACTGTCTTTATTCAGAGAATACATTTTTTCCTAGTAATGTTCTAGGATGTAATGTTGCAATAGTTTCCTTAATGACTTATAAGACTGGATGAAACAATACATTGTAATAGGCGACGAGGAAACGTCTTAATGTAACAGGAAAATACTTGACTTATTAAGAGTGTTTATTACAATTAATGTTTAAGTTTTAATGATTGGGTAAAAGTATGCACCATTGAGCTTCCTCTTTATCAGCCTTTATATGCTTTATCCAGTTAAGTATCAACATGTAATATCACAGGAATGACTAATACCCTAACCATTTCTATAACGGGATTTTATGTTGGATCATGTATCACAAATCTTAAATAGGGTATAAACAGTTGAGTTTAATTAAGAGAAAATCCTTCAAAGAGTATATAAATAATAGTACGGATACGACATTGTCTTTAAAAATGACCTTTACCTTGAGTCAACATAACAGGGGCACGTTCTGCAGATCACCTTATCATGAGCGGAGGGGGGGGGGGGAGACCCCATATGCATATACTGGTATATGTGAATTTCTACCCTCCTACGTTCCTCTACATTTACCATTGTTTGTACCTGATGTTTATGTCTTCGCCGAAATATTCTGTCCATCGGTTATGGTGCGTTCAAAACATGCAATCTACGTGTGAAGAAAATGGCACTAAACGGACTCAAATACAGAGCTTTTACGAAATCTTACCTCCGAAGGGTGCTAAACATTGAAACAAATCCTTATTGAAACATTCATTGAGATTCGGGTAAAAATACTGACAGCTACTGACTAAAATTCTAGTTGAGCTTCATATGCTGAAGTGGTCCAAAAGTGGTATAGAAAACCTACAAAACTAAAACCTACAAAACTACAGATTATTTCCATATAAACATTAATTAAATAGCTACGAACATGAAACATGAACTTAAATCTATTTATAATTCTGACAGTAAACTGTTATTGTCTCATAATCATAATTAAGTTTTTATAATCAACATATCAATGTACCGATAAGATATATGAGTATATTATACAGTTTGTACTATTATTTGTAGTTATTTATATTGAAATGGGTGAGCTGAATTCTTCTAGCCGGTATTCTGTTTCGGTTTTTGTTTCATGATTTTTTATTCAAGTATTATTCAACAAAATAAGTGTTCTATAAGGTGACAACGATCCATACCAAATACTTATATTGTACTAAGTTAGAATAATTGGAAATACTTTAATGTAAGAAATGACAAGGGCGTATTATATTTCCTTAAACTTGTTATACGTCGGTATAAGCTCACAAACGTGAACTTCCCACCATAGCTATAATCAGGTTATCAAATCTGTCTACTAGTATTTAGGATATCAAATCTTATTACAAACTGACACACATACACACGCACGCAAAATAATAAAATAAAACATATATAGATTGCTTTGTGGAAGTGATCGTAATGATGTTGATGATTTTTGGAATAGTCCCATCCCAGAATAGTCCCATCCCTTACAATGTGTGTGTTTGTGTGCGGGCGTGCGTGCGCGCGCGTGTGCGTACGTGCTCGCGTGTGTGTTTAATTTTGGCTTGAACATTAAAGCATCTTGAGGGAGTGCTTTTTTTATTTTCACAATATATTAACTTTAAAGCTACTGGAACCCAGTTAAATATGTTATAATTATACTCTGACACCAGTATACAGTCAGACCAGTTTGCAGATTAGGCTGAAGCAATTTTTGTTTATTGATATTGAAATCCAGGACGGTTCCAAATTCAAAGCAAAATAAATTTGTCAGTAAATTCAGCAGGTTTTAGGTTTAGCGTAATTTATGCTAAATCTTTTCGGATCAACAGAATATATATTGTAGATAATTATGCGGTTTAAATGCGAAACATATCACTATATCAATGAAATAGAAAACGAAGAATAGTTGTTCAACATAACGATAGAAATCCAGAAATAAAGCCTAAAATATCGTGGATTAAACATGCTATCATCAAAGGGAGGAGATCAGAGAGATACATATCGAAGAATAAAATATAATTATAAAAATCTGGAAACAAAGTGGAAAAAAATCCGAAATCGGAGGTAAATGCAAAATATCGGAGAATAACATCAACGTGTTGATGTACAAATTTATCGGGATATAAGTACATATGCTAAAAACTTTTGCAATTACTGTACATTAATTGTTTTCTTGAAAATTTCTTTTGAAATTATTTCGGCAGTTTACACTTACTTTCTAACGTGTTACATATATCATCTTGCTTCTTATCATAATGTTACAATGTTTGTTATTTAGATTGGTGGGAAACAGTATTCATAGTAGATCAGGATTAAAAATGTGTACAAGCAAGTTTTAAGTTTTATATTTACATGTATTTCATATTTTCGTAGAATAAAATGTTGTTTTTTTTGTAAACTTGTTATATCTTATGCCTGGCCATTTTACTGACCGAACAACAATAAACTAAAAAGACAACAGCGCACGAAGTTACGGTATGCTGAAAGCAAAACCTATACAAAAATGTACTTTGATGCATGTTTAATTTAAATATTTATAATAATGATAATGGCAAACATGTAGATTCTTTCTATAAGATGTAGATCACAAATGTCGAACGGAATCCATATCCTCATTTATTAACATATCAGCTAGATGTAAGGAGATAAAATACACACAGCAATAGAAATAATGTCAGAACGGGGTTCGTTCCGAATAAACTGGTCCCTGACTTTGGAGCCCACCACAAGCAAAATGTTCGTGAAGATTTCCCGCAATGTTTTTCCAAATTATATATCATACTTTCGTTGGAGATAGCCACTTTTTGGCCAGTCTTTAGAATGCAGTTAGCAAATAAATCAAAAACCCTTCGCGAGTTCACAAGCTGTTCGATTTGACAATCACACAGAAATCCATTATATGATATATTGAGATTGTAAAAAGTACATTTTTCCGATTCAAATACAAATCCAAGTGAACCTAATGTATTCTGAGACAAGTCAATGTCCAAGGGACGCTTGTAATGGGAAAATGTATCAGCACTAATATAACTTATCTTATTTCCTCGGAAGGACAAACGTCTAGCAGATATTCCATATATACTGTCATTGTCTAAAGAACCCAGTTCATTATTGGACAAATCTAAATTTCTCAGTTTATGAAGTTTTTCTAACGCTATCCTTGGAACGGACGTCATCCCAGCATTACTCATGCGTAAAGTTACCAAACTGTCTTTCACTCCGTCAAACATCTGGTTGTCTAAAATCCAAGGATTACCACTTATATCAAGGAAAGTAAGACTGTACCTTCCTGAAAAAGATACATTAGTAAGCAATCTCATAGTGTTATGAGAAATATCTAAATGCTTTAATTCTTTCAGTTCTGACAATGTGCGCGTAGGAAAAAATCCTAAATGAGTATTGTGAAGATGAAACCGAGTAAGTGAGTTACCTAGCCCAAACAAAGCTCCGTTTCGGAAAGCTTCAATTTGACCAAGCAAGTTTTTTGATAAATCTAATTCTTCTAAACAATTTAACTCAGTAAAATCCCCATGATAAATCACAGTGATGTCATTCTCTCGTAGAGTTAGCTTCCTCAATAAGCTAAGTCTGTTTAACGCCCTTGGAACGCGTGATAAATAGTTCTGGCTAAGATCCATTTCTCGTAGATTGTTGAGTCCTATAAATCCGTGAGGATTTATATCCCTTATTCTACAGAGAGACAGACTTAATACTTTCAGTGAATGAATTTCTTGCTCAACAAATATTGCTGGTAACATTTCTACTCCAAATTCCAGGTTTCCAGACAAATCTAATTCCTCTAGAGTATGCAAATCCTTTACAAAATTTAATGACGTCATATTTTGGAGATCAAGACCAATGTCCCTTACTTTTAAAACTTTAATACCACGCACAGTTTTCTTCAGTAATGATTTCCGTAAAGAACTGCCGACCGGATTCCCGCTAATATCTAGTATACGAACATGAGTCTTCCTTGCGAAGTCTCTTGCTTGTAATGATGTTATCGAATTATTTTGTAATCGAATCTCATAAAGACGAGAACCTTCCCGAAAATCCAAGTAAGGTACTTTTCTTAATTCTCTAGAAGAACAGTCAACATGGCGACGTTCCTCCCGCCGGACGGATCCTGTGTAAGTTGTATAGCACGTGCACACGCGGCTAATTTCGTCTGGACATTCAAATCCCATAATGCAAAGCGGTAGAATGACAACGCTCAGAAGGCAGATATTCATGACATATGTATTGAAATATTTCAAATAATGTGAACCTTTTCTTCTAGGACAATGGCATTTTCGCTGTGTTTAATCCATTCAGAATTTAGGCGGGTATATGAGCATATTGTCATGTATATCTCATGTTTGATTAACCTGCAAAGATAAATAACAAGAAAATATTTAAACAAAAAAAAGGTAAATAAATCTCTGAAAATTATCACTGAAATTCGAAATAAAAATAGAAAATATAATTTCAGTCATTCGGTTATAAAATACAACAACTTAAAAGTACCTTTTTATAAATCACATTAAGTTAAAAGTATAAATCCACTCTGCTTGAATGAAGTTTAATGATAAATCATCTCAGGTAACTTATAAGAGAAATATGTTTGTACAAATATTTATTCAAGTCAGCGGTAGATGCTCTTACCTTTATTACATATCTACCAACTTCCCACACGCCAGACGTTCAATGCATACATATAACAGTTAAAACAAAAAAACAAAACTTTTTTTCTCGAAATGATACATCTTTGTAACACATGTTATATTTTACAGACAAATTATCTACACAACATAGTCTAAGGCACCGTGCTGATCAACAATTGTAGATATTCCGTTTATATGTATCCTAGCTATAATAACAAACGTTCCATAGAAATATCCGCAAGACAATCCATCACACGAAGATCATTTCTAAACGCCGAGAAAGACCACATTCCGACATCTCTACTCATCTAGAAAACTATAACACACAACCTTGAATCTTCTTTATGGTGTATGTACATGGTCTGAACAATTTGCTATTTCAATCTTTTGATATATCATATTTTGATATTTATATTATGTATAAATGGTAGAAAATTTATCTAAATTACTTAATTGTGTGTAAGACTGAATCAATCGCATTTGTAGTATTGACCAACCATTTCAATTATGTGGTAACAAAAACGTAACATCTTATTGAAATATGAAATTTCAAATTAGAGAACTGAAGAAATAGATAAATGTATACAAATAATTCTGCTGCTTTTCAAGCTAACCAACGACATTATAATTAAATTTCAAATATAGAACATTAAAAACTTTTGTTTTTCGTTTACAAATAATCTGTGTATGAATATTTGACCGCATGCAAAAATTACAAATGTTAGCAATACAATAAGTTCAATAAGTGGCCTTTATATACAAAAACAAATTAATTAATAAAAAAAAATACAATAGTAGAGTCAGATATGCAAGATGTTCATTGCTGCATGATTGACTATTGTCGTGTATTATGATATAATGAAATTATCGTGAAATGTATTACATGTATATGAATCTTTGGTTTTAACAGTGCAAAACTCAGTTATATGTGTAACATACGACATATGAACTAAATAATTAAGATGATAGTGTTTATCCATGGTGTTCTCTCTAGTAGTTAGAGGCTGCATGTAGAGTTTACATTATACACTGATGAGACCTACAGACGTATTATAAATCCAGACAGAAATAATCCCATACTTTCAAAACGGCTGCCAAACATTTAGAAAAAGTGCGTTTTTATAACATTTTAGAGTATTTTACTCATGAAACTTATTACGCTACTTACAAAAACTATTTAGCATGAGAGATGCTTAGCTGTTTTTATCTCTCTCAAGGTTTTAACAATTTTATCCGAATAACTAAAATTATCTTATTTCTTTAATTATCTAAGCAACCTGGGACATACGATATCGTATATCCCAGAAGCAACATAGGTAAATCTTTGTAAAAAAAAAGGTTTAAATGCACCCCCAAGCAATTTGTAAATCGTAAAAAATGGGAAGCAAGGAAAGATCAGATTTCCTCCTCATTTAAGTAATTAAACACATAATTTAAAATTATTTATATACATGTACTTAAGCATAATTCCACGAACTTTTTAAAAAACGAAATTTGTTTTCCGATATAGTGTTAACACTAAATAAAAGATCTTGCCTCGTCTGTTGGGCATGTACATTATTTTCACGCATACAATATTCTGTCATTTTATTCTATTATTCCTCTGTGATTCACAAATTTACAAGAAATATTTTTAATACATAATATGAACGTTCAAAACATACAGAACAAAATATACATTTGCGCATGTTTTATAGACCAGTATCATGAAGACTCTTTCATGAACAAATTACTAACCTTGAGCTTATAATGTGAACAAAATTCGACTCAAACGAGTTGTTTTTTACATGACTGAACTGGGAGTTTTTTTTCAATTTTTTTACAGAATTTGATTGATCATTTCACTCACTATGTTTTTCAATAAACCAGCTGCCTAACTCTTTGAATTAAGTGTTTAGGTTCTTGATAAACGCGTATTGGTAAGAAAGAACTATGGCTGTTTTATTGGCAGGTGAGTTGCAATGGAGGAGCTTGATTCTGCGCCTGCTGGTTGGTGGACGGACTGTGGCATCGTGTACAACATCTGCCGATATAACCGAGTTCAGTAAGACTCCAGTGGCACCCAGCCCTCTGGAACAGAAACTCTGAACATAAATTCTCTGGCAATAAAGATTCAAGATTTTATTCCAAATACATGTGGGTATTATACCCATGAGCACACAGCATATATACAAACAAGCATACATACATACAGAAACATAATATCAAGGTCATTAAACATATATAACATATATTTAACATTTACTGTATATTTGAGACATAAATTTGCTGTAATATGAATAGATAATCATATTACAGCAAGGTTTAAATGAAGCACAAGTTTTGCATAATGATATCAATTAAGCAACATTACATTTACCTTCCTAGGTACTATAATTTACGAATATTCAACATTTGTTCTTAATTCAAACATTTTAAAGTTAAACATTGATAATTTTCTTATAACATTTTCATTTTGAGATGTTAACAATTCAATAAAGTTTGGTATATTTGGTTTTTTCCAATAATATTTATCTATGAGCTGTTTTCTCAAAACATTGTATTCTGGACATTAATTTCTAATAATACATGAAATTCATCTTCTAGTTTTAAGCAAATATTACATTTTCTTTCATTATAAGGAATTGCTTCAGGTTTATGCCATCTACCAGTTTCTACTTTAAATCTATGCGAAGAAGTCCTGAAACGTGATAAAGATTTCCTAAATTTTTCAATATTAACCATTGACAGATATGATTTAAAACCAAAATCACAAAATAATACATAACGTAATAAAAGTAGTGCACGCGTGCTGATGTAAAGCTCAATCCTTCATTAGTTTCACCCATTAGCACCCTGTTTTCTTCTTTACCCCATTGGCTCATAAAATTAAATCTTTATTTTATTTTCAAGTCACGATGATTTCAATTTATGCGTTATCTTTCTATGCCACGCAAAAATTTGGAGGTATGGTATACAGGCTACATTTACGTATCTTTAAAACGTCTGTCAGTATAACGATGAAAAAATGGTGACGTCTTAATGATACATGAATGACTTATCTCCTCCACTATGTATCGGCCATCTTTCTCTGTAGATACTTTTACTGGCGCAACATCACTGTTGCCAATGCAGGACGTCCAAATCGGGGTTCACTTCTGTATTCTAGATTCCTTGTACGGATACTTTTAGCGCAGTTTAACCTTCTATTCATGAATAACACTTGGTACACATTAATATATTTGTTTGATTTTAAGAAAGTATTAATTAAGGTAATAATCTAGAGGGTCACGATGCACTGTATGACTATCGGCCACTTGAATTGTATGTATGTATATGTGTGTGCGTTCGTGTGTATGTATCATATATTTAATGAGAGACCATCCAACCGTTAAGACACTAACTCAGCTTTTGCTGTTGAGAAGGGTCCCGGCATGTCACCAGTCATGCCCTTAAAGGATTAACTTTGAAGCACGAAGAGATAATTTATCACTATGCATTTTTCAACGGCGTATTAGCCAGTCTGGATATAAATTTTGAGCCAAAAGTAAGTCTCTGTTCGGCGGTCAATGAGAACCTAAATGTACAGTAACCTTTGACAATGTAACGAGGTAGCCTTGAAAATTGAATCTCAAGATGTCTTTTGTGCTAGTTGGAAAAGCCATTTGAGGCTATATTTACATGAGATGTTACTTTACCAAGTCAGGCAGAACATTTCTATAAAACATCAAAATCACCGTTTTACAAGGCAATCATTATATATTTTCATAACCATGGCAACTAGAATACAGTTTTATATAGCACTTTCAAAAGAAGCACTTAAAGAACAGTTCTGTTCTAATTATGACAAAAAGGATTTAGAAGACAGTGTTTATATGTGTGGCCAGACCCAATTGACAAATTCTAGATTCTTGAGTGATCACAGATCATTGTGCTATAGATTGCTAAGTCAAAACAGGTTCTTTACATATTTTTGCTGAAAAACTGGACATTGTTCCTTATGAAATTATTTGTAAAACTAAATAAACAAGAAAACATGTCAGTTGTATTGAAAAATAATTTTATTCATAGAAAATAGTATAATTGCAACATTTTGTAAAAGGGGAAAATATGATATAAATAAACGAATAGGTACTGATGACCTTAAAATAAACATATATTGCTAGAAAAGTCCCAATCCTTCAACATAGAGTCATACTTGATTTGATATTCTTGAAAAAGTTGCATAATTGATGAATATTTGTAGTTGTCTGCAATGAAACATCTCAGTTTTTCATAACAGAAGTGTTTATAGCCTACATTACCAAAGGGAGAGGCACTTTTAATCACAGGGGCATGATTAATCATTTTATGATAAATAAATATTTGTGGAGGTCTACTTCAAAAGGCTGCATCCCCAATATCTAAGCTCAGTTTTTGTAAACTACTGTACGTGACCCCTTGGGCAGGAGTCAAAATTGACCACAGGGGTAGGATTTATATCACTTTTGTAGAAGGCCACTAGGTGATGCTATATATCTAAGCTCTGGGGATTGCCATTGCTCACAATAAAACTTGCTAGGTTTTCCTTATAAACTAGGGGTCATAATTTTTATATGTGTATCTATTTTAGAAGACCAAAAGGTTATGCAAGTTTTATGGTACATGCCCAATATTTAAGTTCTTGTTAGTTTCTAAGGAGACAATTTTTAATGATTTTATTATTATAGTCTAATTTTAGGTTTTGTGACCTACTTATGGATCAGACTGGAAATACCAAATATCTTTTGAAGAAGGTCACCTAAAAATTATTTCTTTGAAGATCGATGGTTTAGGAATATAACATGTTTAAAGTAATTGTGGGTTATGACTGACCATTTATGATAGACACATTGCCATCACAAAAGTTCACCCTGTGCTCAGGTGACCAAAAATCTGAATACTTCCATTTCCAGTTGAAACAATATAAGTACATAATATTTTATAATCTGGCACGAAACAATGGAACTGTAAATGTTATAATCAAGCATACAGTCTGATCATATTGTAAGGAGGAGCAGACTTGTCTTTTCCTATACCTAGAGAATAGCCACTCATGCTCAGTCTCCAGGTTCATGTCAGAACATTATTTCTTCACAACTTTTCCTCTTTGTCCTGTAAAAAATACAAAAAGTTTAGTTAAGATAAACAAGATGCCTTATATAATTTCTTGAAACATGTTTGAAAATAATATACCAAGTGGCTTTTACAATTTCTAGCTTGCTATTACTATTATTATGAAGAGTTTTTAAGAGTAAATTTCCAAAATAATTTCAGGCAATATGCACATGGGTAAACAGTTTACATAACATTTAAGCATATTATATAGTCAAATGGTCAATAACAGAAACTATATATAAAAAAAGTTTATTACAAGGTATCTTTAAACAATAAGAAAATATTATTAAGCATACTAACACTGACACAAAATATAAACAAGTCTTATGATATCATGATATTACGGATAAACTTACAATTAGGACAGCTGCAATTCTGTCAATAAGAATATGCAAAAGGTTGAAATAACGAAGAAAAAGTAAATATTCTATTGTATGCCATTGGTCAATAAAGAGAGAAATTACAGGGAAATGTTACATAAACACCAACAGGATATTGTTTGTGATTAGCTACAATCAGTTTATCAATTTATAACTTTGATATTAAAGCAATGAACGACATGTGTATAATTTACAGTAAGGGCAAACTAAACCTAATGTGGTGTTTCATGTGCATTTTATATTTGGCATGGTTCAGCTAATTTAGCCATGGATGATCAGTATGAATGATTTATGTACATGTAAAAGTAATATTTGGCATTCAAAATATTAAATTCAACCTTTTGGTAGGACTGCATGCTCGACTATTCTAAAACTTTTTATGGACTCAAATAAGTGTGTGAAATTCAAACCATTCCCTTCAGTAGTTTTTGAAATACCAACTTACATGGAAAAACTTAACAAAAGTGTGATGCTGACACCTGAGTACAATAACTCTCCCTATTTTTCAAGCAAAAAAAAAATAGTTGATTAAAATGTTTTTCCTTTAAAGGGTTTCTTCTTCTAAGGCCTAGTATGTTGATAAAACCAAAGGGCCTTATGACAAAGAATAATTTCCTGAAGCCATAGGACCTTGTGACAAAGAATAATGTTCATAAAACTATAGAGCCTTGTGAAAAGAGTACTGTTCATAAAACTATGGTCTTGTGACAAAGAAAAATGAGCTGTGTCACGACAAAACCAACGTAATGCGTTTGCGACCAGCATGGATCCAGACCAGCCTGCGCATCCGCGCAGTCTGATCAGGATCCATGCTGTTTGTTTACAAACCCTATTACAAGTAGAGAAACTGATAGCGAACAGCATGGATCCTGATCAGACTGCGCGAATGCGCAGGCTGGTCTGGATCCATGCTGGTTGCAAACCCACTATGTTGGTTTTGTCGTGACACGGCTCAAATGCACATGTAAGATACTGTGACAAAGAATATCAAGTTCATAAAACTTTGGCACATTTTGACAAATTAGAATATAACATATCATCATTTTGTCCTAGATGATGATAATTACAGGACAAGATATAAAACTAATTGACTTCTAATTATGTTATAATTGTTTCTTACTATTAAGAAAAATAGCTGGCAAACTATTCAAGTTCTAGAATTTCCATCAACTGATCTTGTCAAGGACACATAATGTAACACCACATACCACCAGCAGCATTCCTATAATAGTCTCTGAAATAAAAAATAATATAATATACATAAGATTGATAGTAAAATTTAAAACAATTTAAATAGTACCTACTTATTCTGTCCACAATTCTTCCTTATTCTGTCTGGTTTGCACAACTTACTTACTCTTTACATTATTTATTCTTTCTCTTGCATAAAACTTACTTATTTTCACTTCAAGCTAAGGCAGAATTTTTTCTAATGTACACATTTTTCTGTTACAAACTAAAAATGGTGACAAGAACATACAGGAAAAAAGACTTTTGAAACATTGACAAGTTCTTTTTTAACAATGCTGATGTCATGGTAGGATCATTTCTGTAAATTGATATAACAAGAGCTGTCTGTAGAGCAGTATGCTCCACATTTCTCAGATCTGGATATTTTGTTGTACATAAAGAGATACCCTAATTTAAAGATCAACTTGACTTATGACCTTTTGACCTGAATATGGGTGTGACAGATAAAACTCATCAAGATGCATCTACAATGGTCAATGCACTTTGAAATTTGTTATTACAGGTCCCAGTAACCCTAATCTTTCAATGTAATAGCTTTTCTTCAGTATCTAAGTTAATAACCATTAACAAAAATTTAACCAAAAATGGTAAACCCAAACCAAAGCGGATCCCACTTAAAGAACATGACAATCACTGAGCTTTTTCTTTGAATAGTGGAGCTAAAAGTACACAAATTTTTATTCTAGCAGCCAGGGTTTTTTTATTATCAAATTCAATAATTTGAAAAATGTTCAACTAAAGATCGTCAACTCAAGACCATTTTTATTTAATAATAACAAATTCTTACTAACAGTTTTTTAGAAGTATGATTTTCAAAGTTTCTGTATATACTAATAGTTAATTGATTGTTGATTACAAAAAGTGTGGATGTACGAACAAACAGTCAGGCAGATAAACACTGGACAACAAGTGATCACAAAAGCTTACCTTGAGCGTGTTCTGCTCTGATGAGGTAAAAAACTTGAAAGCCATTCAAAAGATATAAACTATTTATCATATGAGTTAATATAACTGTTTGACAATATATATAATGTATTGTAGAAACCAACTTTTAGATTCAATCCTTTCTCCTAGAAGATGGCCAGATATGGCTGTGAAGATAAATGTCAGAGAATTGGTGATAGGTACTGCAAGAGATAGATCTGAAAACAAAAGACAAGACATACTACATTCTGCTAAAACTATATACACTATATAGCATTACTGAAAAAAGTGTTACATTTGTGTTAACATTCAAATTGTTTATAGTACAGTTACTGGTATTTAACCCTTTACTTGATAAATTTGTGTTATGGAATTGCCCATTTTTTGACTTTGGGGGCAGCACTTTGAGGCGTGAGGGATGTTGCACATTTTCATTATCTCTCATGTACAGACTCAATCTAACAGTCTGCAATTTTCATGCAATTTAGCTGATTTTATTGCTTCTGAGGGATTTTTTTCCAGATATTCAAAGTTTCAAAGATTTCAATATGAAAATACAAAACTTGACCCACTAACAGTATATACAGACTGATCATTATGTATGGGTATACACGCTGGCCTGGCTCAATACTGGCGACAGTGGCTTATCACTGTGTAAGTTAAGGGTAAAGCATCTTATCCACAAGCTGTTACAATTTTTATACTGGCTAGGTATTTTATCTCAACCACAAGTTTATAGCACAAGTCCTATTCTACAGATTTATTAACAAATATTTTAATTATACTGATATAGATCTATTATGCCATAGCTTTACCCAAAAAATCTACAGTGCCTAACATTTAAAGCAGATTCTGAGCGTTTATGTATTTCATATTAAACATAAAATAGAAAGGAAGTACAAAAAAATTACAGTTTGGGGAAACAATGTTAAAGATGCTATTTCATAAATTTTGAAAATTCAACCTTGAATGGTTCCAAGAAAGCCCTATTTAATTTACATAAATATGTAAAGTTACCTGCAGATGCCAGAGTAATGTAGTATAGTACAGATCCAGCTTGATTGATGAGAAATGGTAACAAATACTGAAAAAAAATCAATAATACATAATGTCATACTGGACACAGTGAATATTTAAACAATTCATAATGAGTAAATGATCAACGCTAACATTTTCATCTTCTTATCTGACCTTGGATATCTGCTTGTGACCTTGGCCATGGCCGATGCCTAATAATGATGGACTGTGAAGTTACATAACAATCCCTCTATGTATGTGTAAGTTTTACTATGGAGAATTGTTTTCTCTGACCTTCAAGTGTGACCTTGACCTTTGTCATAGAAACCTGATTCATGTGTGCAACATTGAATCTTGCAATGAATTACATTTGTGTCAAGAACTTATATCCTTCTATGCATGTAGAAGATATAGTCCAGGACAAATGTTTATGTTTAATCATCTTTGCTGACCTTGATCTTGCACATATTGACCGGACTTATGCTGACAATGCTCAGTATCATAATAATTGTAAACATTTGTAATTCTATAACTCAATTCAAGATAACAAAGTTGTCAATATCTTGACAGTGGCAACAGGCAACAGAATTTTGTTTGTGACACTCAGCCTCACAATGGTGAACATTTCTGCCATGTTATATAAAAATCTCCCAATGCTTGTACAAGTTTTGTACAGGACAAAGTGCAACCTTTAAGTGTGACCTAGACCTTTGACCTAGTTTATACCCATGATATTATGTCTTATGGTGGTGAACATTTGTATCCAGAAATACTTAAATACCCTCCATGACTATGCTGCCAATACCCAGCATCCACCAAGGGTGATCCCCACTCTTTTTTAAACACGAATAAAAAAATGATACATGAAATTTTCCCAATTATAAACCTCAAATTCCAATTACTGATGATATACACCATACCTTCCAATTCGTTATCAGGAACAGCAACTCTGCTATAAATTGCTTGAAAGGTGATGATTCCTTGATGGATTCTATCCCTTTACTCCCTCGCTTAATGAATGGATTTGTTGCTCCCCAGAACCCAGCAACTACTATCAGCCAAGCTGCTGTTACTGCAAAAATAACACAAATGTATTAATTAAAATACAAACAAGAGCTGTCAGAATGGAAACATGCCTGACTACTTTCAGTGCTTGATCTGGATAATTGAATCACAAGATGGTAGTACCCTATGTAACTGAGTCTTGGGATTTGGACAGTGACTTCTAATTGATTTTTGACAGGCATATGTGAAGTTTCCAGCAATATATATGGTTGGTGAGATGAAGTTGTACAAGAAGTTGCACTAAAAGTAAAAACTTCAACCTGGAAGTTAATGCCAGGGCCAATTAAAAATGACACAATTCAGTCAAAACTCATGCCAAAGTTATGGATCTAAGATGGTGACCTTTAGTTTTCTTATGATTCTTATTATTTTGTGCTCACGAGTTATTTTTTCTCAGTTTGTTGAAGCCACATTAGTCTACAGTATCTATTCATCTATCATTAATGTCAAACCCCTTCAGCGGATGTAGACATGTTCAAATGTCAAAAATTTGGTTAGTCAAACTTATTAGACTTGTCAAAGAGACAACCAGATATTTTTGGACAGATGATGTCATTTTCCAAGCTTAACAGTTTGACTTTGACAATATCAAAAAACAGTCTGTAAAATGGGTCAAACCGTTCAGGTCAAATTAATTTGGCTAAAATTAGGTCCCAACTATAAAAAGAGGTTAAAAGAAGAAAAGATAAAATGTTAAAATCAAGGGGGCTAGAAACTAGATTCAATTCAATGCTTGATATACAGCTGTACTGAACTCTCAGGGATAGGGAGTAGGACAACTGCATGAGAGCGTAATAATGATATAAAGCCCTAGGAAAGACAATTGTGCATTTAATTGTAAAAACCTTGAACTTTCATTTTTCAAGTTTTATGCACCTATTCAGACAGTCAGACTAAACGGAGAAATTTATGCAGTCACTCTAAAATTATATAAGGCCTTATGCATATAAAAAAAAACCACTGTTTTTATCAGCCATTATGTCTTATACTTTAAAAGGTTTTTAATTGCAAATTCTTTTACAAATACAAACTATTGACCTTTTCGAAAACCTAGCTAAACACCGTTTTCCAGTCCGTTACGGATTTAGCTCTGGGGAATTACACCAAATGAAGTACATGATATTTCTATTTTCTATCATTATTTTACTGTTTAAGGTAAAATAAATTGATGTATTTGAAAATTATCAATATTCCTTTAAAATTTATTGCAAATTTTTCAAAAAATAAATTGTTTATAATGAAAATCAATAAAATTAAAACAGATGTAGTGGAATCTTCAATAATAAATAAGGTTATTTTCTGCGTAAACATGTGTATTTACTTTATTTTTTGTATGGAATTATTCATACAATGATATTTAATTATTTTCTTATAAAGAAATAACTGTTTTATTTCAATTTAATTTAAAAAAAGGCCGAAAACATCAAGTTCGCTATTAGTATTACACTCCATTAGGTGAATTCCCCAGAGCTATGTACAGAAAGTACCGGAAAATGGCGTTTAGCTAGGTTTTCGAATTTGTGAATGGTGTCTTGTCATAACATTTTTATTACTTAATTATAGGCGGCACTGAGATTTAGTCAAAATATTTTGACCGACTGCCAAAGCTATATTCTTAAATATTTTTTTCTGGGTCAGAATCCCGCTTCTTGAGAGGAGAAGTTGTTCATACACAATAAGCACAATATCCCATAGTACAATTAGTAATTTAGTTGGTCCACTGCGACTCTTTCAGACACATTAAATTTCTATTTTTTAGTTATAAATATAAAATAGAAAAAAATGTGGAAAAGATAGCTGAAGAAAATTTCTAATTGTCTCGTGTTAATGAGTTAACATTTATTATGATTATTATTATCTCAGAATGCTGTCCCAAAATTATGTCACCTCTGTTTCCCTACTAAGGTACGAAAGATTTTGGGTACGAAATTATTATTAGTTTCAGCATCGAAAAGAAACAAAAAATAGATACCGATTGTCATTGTAACTGCGAAATTAGAAGATGCAATTGAATATGTTTTATTAATTATTCACTAATATTATCATGCAAATCTGTAAGATACAATTTAACATGACTTAAATCTATCTCAATTGACAGGAAATAGAATGCTTAAACCGGAAGTGTAACAGGTGATTGTCAATTTGGGAATTTAGTTAATTTCGAAGGTTTTTACAGTGCTACTATTTGCGTAAAACAGGTAAATAAGGAGCTTTTAAAATGCAAACAACTGCCGAAACGTATTCCGTGTTTTGAGAAATGTTTTTAATTCATTTCAAAAGAAACACGCAATTTATTTGCGCTAATTGTCTAATTTAGTAAAACCCCACCCATCTTTGATTAAGAAAACAAATTTGACCTAGTTATTTTATTCATTTAAGTCTGTATTTGTCCCTGGTAGTACTATCAACCAGGAATGTAAGCCTTATTTAACCCACCATCAAATAACAGAACAAACCTAGGATGAAATTATTATTTGCTGAAGAAGATTATTAGATGAAACACAGGTGCAATGCACAACTATCAGTATACCTGTACACTCTTATATTATTATTATGCACAGTGAAAACTCGCTTAACTGGACATGGGACCCAAAAAAAATCCAAATTACGGAGGATTCATGTTTACTGACTCAGGATTTAAGGCATGGACATTCATTTCTAACTTATAATACATGTATACTCCTGTACGTGTTATCACGGGTAACATCTATCACAGTACGTTTTCTAAGATTTCGAGTCATTTCGGCCCCAAATTACCCAAGACGTTTCGGCCCCAGACGTTTCGGCCTTTTGCCAAATCGGCCCCATATATAGTAAAGAATAAGTCTTACCTTTACGTGTTTAAACCAGAATTTTAAAAGCATTTCAATAAATGAATGAATAAAAGGAACGAGAGAACTAATTGAATAATTATTTTTATTTGTAATTGAATGACGCTAAAATATCTAAACTTAGTAATCTAAACAAACAGAACAGAACATTTATAAACTTTATTAAACAAAGCATAGTACACGATCACTGAAACAGATTTGTATCTGCTTATTATCAACAAGCATTCTTTAAATTTGAATGATTAAAAAGCAAGACACAGAACATTTGAATACATGAAACAAACATTTATTATCAAGAACTATTAAATTAATAGTAAGTGACGAGTTTCAGCAATGCAAAACAACACATATTTTTAAAAAATTATACCTGTACTTACAAACAATACATTGTAAACAGAATCTATTTTTATAAATAACAACTTTTTACAATAAAAGTGACAGATTTTCAATCAGAACGTTGCAATAATAATTCAAAATATTATCAAGGAATTATAACAAATCATAAGTTAAAAATCTTTGATATTACTAGCCGCTAATTAGCAATTAGCTATAAATAATTGATTTGTTACACCTTCAAAATAAAAACAACAACATAATATATCTAAATAGTTAAATAGCTGTTCTATGATAAATAGAGATCAAAAGATAATGTTTTTGGGATATAATTGTAATTAACTTTGTTAATCAAAAAGTTTTTGCAGTTTGTCAACTGTCTTATAAATCAAGGATTAAGTGTCTTTATTTATTGTTACACCTTGAAAAAAAACATTTATCTAAATAGTGAAATTAAGAGATCGAAAGATCTATAATGTATTATTAATTAAGGATTATTTAAAGTGTCTTAATTGTTGCCATCAATCAATCGATCAATATACTAAAATTTTTAACGATTTTAAGTATAAAAATTCCTTTAATACTTTAATAAAACTGTAATAAAAAAGGGCCGAAACGTCTCGCGAAAAGGGCCGAAACATCTAGGGGCCGATTTTTGCACAGGAGCTGATTTGATTTGGGGCCGAAACGTCCTGTTTGGGTTTTCTAAGTCTGCCAGTAAAACAACACATCGCTATGTTACTATTTTTAAAGCTGTCATACTAATTCGCTAAGCATCTACCAATAAATTTAATTTTGTGAAAAATGAATAAAAACTAGTACTAATTTGTGGTAAGAAAAGTATTTGATGAAATATTCATACATGGCTACTTGTTGTAATGTATTTCCCTTAATTGTATTTACACAGTCAATTAAAATATGTTATATTCCCATATACTGATATATATATATCGTCTTCTCATATAGTTTGAATTTTATAGCAAGTTAACTGGATATTGGAAGTTTTTCACAACTTAACTTGAAGATTTTGACCCATCTATTATACATAATACACAAATACATGTACTTCAAAATATTTGTCCGGTTTTGCAAGGTAGATTTTCCTAAACAAATAATTTATTGCCTGGGATGCTCATCATGACATGTGCAAACCAGGGTTATAGTATGGTGAATGTCGGGCTGTGGGTGAGTGGGCGGGGAAAAAATCTCGTAACAGTTTTCTGTGCAACTACCTATCACAGTCTCTTGATATTTAGTTATATAGCATTAATATGTGGTCTTATACTGTGGGATTCGATCTCAGGTCTGTCGCTCATCCACTTCCCTGTTTACTGACTTAGTTGGATTTTTGACATAAATGGTCAATGGTAGGAAATTTTCATAACATTTTTATTAGGAACTATTTGTCACAGCCTCTTGATATTTGGTATACAGCATTTACATTTGGTCCCATACTTTGGGCTTTGATTTCAGGTCTGTTGCTCATCCACTTCCTGTGGACCGACTTAGTTAAATTTTCAACATTAATGGTCAATGGTAGAAAATTTTAGTAACATCACAACCTCTTGATATTTGGTATACAAATGCAACCCGGTCATTTCTGTCTTTGATCCATTTTTGTTTGTTTGATATAATAAGATTTTGCATTTTCGTAACTATTTGTTTTTCTCAAATTTATTTTTTAAATACTTATTGTGTTTTTACCTTAAGTCTATCTTTTGTATTTTCTGATGTGTTTTACACAAGAAAATTTACTGATAGGCATGCTGCCATGTAATCTTGACCTTGTTTTGAGAATCAAAAGAAGGGATGAAAAATAACTTGTAAAAATTCGAAAAAAGAATTAAGATTACAAAGATGTGAATTATTAATGGTAATTGATGAAAAATTTAATGTAACTCATTTAACTAAAACAAAGTATCACCAAATTGTTAATTTATTCATTAAGCTTATTCTTATAGTAGATAAAAGTCAAAAACTCTAATACTGCCTTTTCTGTCCATTATTTTTAATGGCCCTGAATACATGTACTTGCAGGTTTTGAGGTATATCAGTCTAAACTTTTATACCCCTACTTAAAGCTGCATGCCTCCAGATCAGTCAAAATATTTCAATAAAATCAAACTTGAGAGAAATGTACTAGGATTTAAGGAATAGTAAAAGGATTCAAGATTCAAATAGTATATTACATTTTATGTGCAGTTAATGACTTATTTTTCAGTTTTTACAACTATATTTCTTCTTCGTTACTAACGCAGTAAGGGCTAATTATGTATATTTTGACCCATTTTTTGGTAATTAACGTGGGTTATTAGTGTCATAGTCAATGTGTACCGGTATATTGCTTCCATTTGGTAACTTCATGATATTATACATTGAAATACATTTTCAAAATTTTCATGAAAATTAGCATGAATCTGGAGGCGTGCTGCTTTAAAGCCCCATGTTGAGAGGGAAAAAAACTTGACACATATTCCATTTTAAAGTTTTGTGTGAACTAAAGTTTGTTTCCCTGAAATTGGACATAGTAACTAAGATTTTTTCATTTGAATATTGACCTATAAATAATATAGTGACATTCAGTCTATAAATAGCAGAAAATGGTATTAGGTAAAAGCTAAAAATATCACCTACCCATTTACCAACAGTGCATGTAGCATTATGTATTTATTTGTTTGAGAATTTATAACAGTAAAATGCATGGAAAGTGTGATTTGTGTTAGAAGATTCAGGATGTTTTGTTTTTCTAAAGGTTGATTATGAAGAGGCATATAGTGCGAGCACGATAAACAGAACTTTTGACAGTTCACAGTCCATTAAAAGATTAACATAGGTAAACAAAGGTAAACTGCAAGTGATTAACCAAATTGTTACATTAGAATTAAAAGTTATACAAATTTTATTTTATGAGATATTATCTTCGTTTGACTCTATAGCACAGTAAATAAGACCGCTTATTAATATGAATGTGAATTCAGCTAATGGGTTCGAAACCTGGTGTAAACTGTTTCATTTTTTAATTCTTTCTTTTTTTAATTACTCTCTGTCTGGCAAAATAAATATATGGTTACGCATATGAACTTAACAATATTGTATTTTTGTCTCTCATAAAATTTGTTTAATTATCATACATTTAAAATAAGAAATTTATAATACAAAAAATGAGAAAGATAGTAAAATAAATGAGATGAAGATACTTCCATTAAAAAGTATCATAAATAAATCAGATAAAAACGCATTATCATTATGTAGTTTCTTACATGAAGGACGAAAAAAAAAACTGAAAAAAAAAACCAAACCCAAAATCTTTTTTTGAAGCCTGATACCCTTCTGCTTTCTGAACATAGCGTTCTACCGATTGAGCTATTGCGACATTTATTACAAACTTTTACAATTATTAGTCAAACACACAATTAATAGGGTGTGCAACATTTATTTTACCTATATATTATTAAAATGGATTGTTCCGTACTTTGAATAAATATGTAGAAACTTCTGTTTATCATGCGCGGATTATAGCAAAGAAAGGGTTGCAAATGGGTAGCCTTACTATAGATAGAGCTATTTTTAGACCTGGGCATTTGGGAAACTGATGTGGAAGTTACTTCTTATAATAATAAAAGTAAAGAATCACACATTTTTTTCTTTTGTAAATTTAATTGTATATATAATTGTAGTTTTTGACAATTAAATTTCATTGTGGCTCCAATGAAATGAGTCATTTCTAAAATGCTTTGAACTGAAATTACATTATTTATAAACACACAATAAAAGTAAGAACTTGTGATTATGGGGTTGATAGGTATGTCCTTACATCATACATGTATAAACCTTTAAATCTGTTATCCTTGTTGGATCAATAACATAAGAAATTATGAAACCATATATGGACATTAGTCTTGCCTTATTTATTATATTTATTCTGGACTGCTGTGGTTCTAACTGCTTAAAGCTTGTCCTACTAATAACTAGGGAACACTTTCCACAACAGTCCTAAGATTTGGTGACCCTTTAGTTTGATTCTAAGATCAGAAGGTCAGAGGCTAAGGTCACTGAACCCTTGACCACTAAAGCATTGTCCGACCATAACCTAGAATGCTTTGGCCTTCAGTCCCAAGATCTGATTTTAAGGTAGGTCATCACTAGTAAATGACCCCTATGGTTTTGAGGTCAGTAGGTTAAAAGTCAAGATACCCTTGGACTTGACCACAAAAAGAAAAAAGGTTTGAATGACAAAGATTATACATGTATTTTAAATTAAAAAGGCCTCTGCATTAAAAAGGCGTCCGCTCCGCATTATAATTATGTAAGATTAACATGTACATGTACTTATATTACCAGTGCTTTGCAATGAAGACTTAATATCACAATGAACATTACCAGTCCTGATCTTTGAAACATTATAAATCCAAGTCCATGTAAGATGAATAATCAGTTTCTGTTAGGGCGGCATACATGTTTCACAAATATATCTCTTGTTCTCTGTAGGATAAAATTTGTGTGCCAGTGTCAGGAGAGTTAATGAAAAAACAAACCTGACCACTTACAGCTTATCTATAACACTAATATTTACTGGTGTTTGTGACAAGTTCCTATCTCTATACACTGATAACTGGTCATTCTTTCAGCTTATATTTAGGAAATAGACTTGAAAACGGGAGATGGGTTTTCCTAGTTAATTATGTTTTTCTGGTAAAATGTGCCTTTTGCAAGAAAGATCTTGATTAGAAATAGACAGTTGTATGTATGATTATATATTTTCAGAGATTAGAATATAATCCTGGGTCTGATGAACTTATAGCTGACAGACAAAATGGCTATGATTCATGGTAAGTAAATTGATTCTTTTCTTCTTCCATTTAGTGGAGCGGGAAATAAGGTCTCTCCTGTTAAAATAGTGCAAATTGTGATACAAGCATGAAACTTTCAGGAAATCATCTTTAGACTATAGAGATTTCAAAAGTGAAGTGGGCCCAAAAATATCTCTGCTCATCCAAGATGGCCGCCATTTTCAAAATGGCCGCCTATAAATTTGACGTACATAATAGCGCATTAAGTGAAATTTTTTGTACAGATCTGAAACTTACACTAAAGCATGTATAAAGGTTCTCCTTCACAAAAATTCAAATCTTGAACACATTCCGCGTTCATACCTCTTCAGAATTCAAGATGGCGTCCAATATGGCCGCCGATTTTATGCAAAAAATTGTTATATCTCCTTTGTCATATAATTTGTATCACAAATTATGCATATTTCGATAAAAAGTGTTTAAACATATCAAAACTAATCAAATTATATGTAAACCAGAATGTAAGTCAAACTTTTTAAGTTATTTATCAAAAAAAAAATCTTTAAAAATACCAAAGAAACAGTGCCAATATTTGCATATTTCTCTAACATGGTTTTCTTCATTGTATTAAACTCAAAAAGTTACTTAGTTTCTTTAAGTGTATATGATATTTAACTAATATTATGTGTTTATTGTAAACATAAAATCTGTAGGTTTATTTGTTGTTCTTTTTTTGGTGGGGTAAATGTATCTGATAATTGAAAAACAAAAACAATAATGTTTGTAAGTTAATTTTCTTTTTTCTTTTTGTTAAACTTTCTATGAATTTTTAGGAAAATATTCACTGTTAAAAAGTAATGGTTTTTAAGGATTTTTTGTCTTCATTCAAGTCTAGAGGGTGTGCTTAAATATCAGTAAATGCACATTACAGTCAATTATAAAATTTGTTTGCAAGATATAACTTGTTTTAATATTCTTAATATTATCAGTTAATTGTAACGATAGTAGACTGAATATACATCGACAAAACATGCGTTAAATATTGTCTCATTTACGAATAAAATTAATTCCTTCACAATATCTTTACGAAAAGATAAAAACCGCTTTAAAGCCAACACAATGAGAAAAAAGAATTTTGCATGAGATATCATAGTCATACTGAAGGCTTGATACAGTACGATTCAAAATTATATTTACTTTCATGTCATTGTAATTAAGTATAATTAAATGAGCACTGTTGATAGAATAACATATCTAGACATGGTATTTTCAAAAAGATACGAAGTAAAATTAAGGCGACTGATACATTATATGATCTATGTGTAGTGAAATAAGTATATCAATAGTATCGCTTGACCCACATATATTTGCTGATGATTTGACATATAAACTAACTGTCTGTCAAAGATTATTCAAGTTTCATGTTTCCCATTAAACAATCCTAGACCACTCGCCTAAGATCCACTGCAGGAAAATTGCTATAACTCTTTAATACAGAAGTAAGATAAGATCATGTTAGGAGTATCAATTTTTTTTCACCACATACAGTTATGATTTATGAACTATTTGTAAAGGTTACGTTAAAGGAAACATGCCCAATATCTATAGGTACATGTACTCAGAACTGTTTCACACAAAAACTCATATAGTTATATTCCTATATGAGTCCATATAAACTTAGTGATTTGGTCCTATGCTAATAATTTATAATTTTTATAGAGGTATAACAAAGTGATGTTTCATGATAATTTTTCTGCTCTGTAAACTTAAGTTACGGAGAAAATTTTTAAGACAGTTTTAAGTCTATGCAAACATAAGTAACATACCAGGGAAAGCCACTTTAGACTGCAGGAGCATGAAAAGGCCTGCCACAAGGGGCACTTAGTTTTGAAATACTTATATAGCTAAATACTTATATAGGAAATCACATGTAAGTTCTCTTTTGCAGATCTACAATGCCTAGAACTTAGATATTCAACATACCGGTATAACATTGTCAAGTAGAGAAGACCTCTTTAAAAATTTAAAAAAGCCTCTTTTCGTCACTTTTTGTCATGATTTTACATATAAAATTTTTAAAAAATCTTTTTCAAAAAGCAAATCTCATAGCATAGAGTATAAATATACTTTCCCCTATTGTGTCTTAAACATATTAAAAATTAGCTCAAAGCCATCCGGTTTATGCTGACTTGAAAAAGGAAACAAAAAAACTTCTTTTTTAAACTAAATCATAAAAAATTTTATGATTCTGATAAAAGGGGTTTGAAAATTATTACTTTTTTTTACAAGACTTGTTAAAAATCTGTATTCCTAAAAATGCCTACCCCTTTTAGACATTAATTAGTTTTTTATAATCTGAATACTCTACAAATATTTAAAAATCATGGGACAAGATTAAATTTAATAAGGGTACTTTTATTGGATCATATATGAATATTAATATTTTTAATCCTCCATAGAAAATTTGAGAACTGGTTTGGGGTGTTTCTTTTAAAAAAATCAAAAAATTCAAAACATTTTGTTTTGGCAAAATTAACCCCAATTACCTCGTTTTAAAAAATTGTGACCTTTTCCAACAATGGGGGGAATAGGGGCACATTGCCCTTTTTTAAAAAAAAGATATAAATAATTTATGATAAACATATTTTTTAATCATCAAAAACTGATGTGTCAGGTGATATAATGATATATCGTTCTCACAAACATAGCAGAATGACAGTACCTTAAGTATTACATATAACTCATTTTTACATGAGTTATTTTAATATTTTCAATATGACGTTGTGAACTAGTTAATAATATGCGTTAATGGACAACCTTATTTATGTGCATGTTTGCTATTTAAAGCATATTTGTTGATTAATTGTCTTCTTATATATCTTTACAATTAAAAATTCATAAATAATATCAAGATATTGAAACAAGTACAAATATATAAACAACGGATAGGAAACACCGAAAATAGACGAGAGTCCGATTCAGACCCACAATCCTTTGTGCGCTTCAGTGATAATCCGGCTTTCCCGCTAGTCTCCGATTTTCACGCTATCGTTAAACTTCGGCCATATCTGTGAATTATTGACATGGATTTTCATCGGAGAAATACTTGTGTGGAAAAGTGTGTTTTGTACGTTTTAGAAAAAAACTTTTGCTTCTTATATAAGTAGAAATTGTTTAGTCTTTCTTATTGATGTTCCTCCAGGAATTCAATATGGCGGTATTTTGGCTACTTTTACCCAGGATGCATCATATCTCGCAAAATCGCGCGACACATGATAACTTGCGGGAACACAATTGCGCCGATACTGATTTTAACTGTGAGACGTCACAGTTTCTTCTCCATCTTAAATTTACCTCCATGCATGAAACAAGTAATATCATGCAACCAAATTTAATAAGTGAGCGTATACTAATGAATGTATGTGCATTTATTGATATTTTATCTCACCTAGTTGACCCAAAGAAAGACATATATTTTATAGCTTCCTACACAATCAAACTAAAATAAATTCTGTATAAACCAAAGAGAGACAAAAATACCTTTTTCCAATAAAGAATGCTTTTTAATAGGGAACAGTTGCATAAGAATTAACAGAAAAAGTGAAGAAAAAGAAACAAACTACATGTACCAGTGCAAATTTTGTTGTTTTTCTTTTATAATTATCGGATAAATTTACCCCACCCACTTTGACAATAAAAGGCCTACAGTTTTTATGGTTTTATTTCATGTAAACAACAAACCCCTATTTTTAATTAAATGACAAATAAGAAATAAAGTAACGTTTTTTAATTTTTAGAAAACCAAATCAGAGAAATATGCAAAAAAATGAGATTTTTTTCTTGATATCTTTAAAGATATTTTTAGACGTAAACTTAAAAAACTTTACTTTCATTATGATTTACATATGATTTGATAATTTCTGATATGTTGAAACACTTTTTTATCGAAATAAACATAATTTGTGCTATAGATTATACTATAGAAATTGTATAACAAGTTTGCATAAAATTGGCGGCCATATTGGACGCCATCTTGGATTGACAAAAGGTATGAAAGCGGAATTTTGTAAGATTTAAATTTTTGTAAGGGAGACACTTTATACATGTTATGGTGTAAGTTTCAGGTCGTTACAAAAATTTTACCGAATGAGCTATTTATGTACGTCAAATTTATATGGCGGCCATTTTGAAAATGGCGGCCATCTTGAATGAGCAGAGATATCTTTGGGCCCAATTCACTTTTGAAATCTACTTGGTCTAAAGATGATTTCCTGAAAGTTTCATGCTTGTATCACCATTTGCACTATTTTCTCAATTTCCCGCCCCACTAATTTTAGAGAAGAGTAAGTTACAGTTTGATTTATATATAATAAAAAAAAAAGTATGTCTAATACATGATATAAGATATTTGGGCAGAGTTTTGATCATTTGTTTCTTGTGTTGAAGCTATGGTTTTAAGCCCTTATAGTTTATAAGATACAATATGAAAAAAAATGTAATTTCATGTACCTTATATGTTTTAAAAACTTTGTTAATACCATATCTTGGTTTTATGGTCATCTGTTAGTCAATATATATTGATATGCAAAAGATAGATTCTGAGATATTTTCGTGCTGGGGCAGAAAACAGAAACGAAAATAGCACAATATCTTGTCACACAGTGTCAGTACAATTAGTTGGACCATATTTTTTATTGGTAAAAACTCTATTTTGTTTAATAAACTGAAATGTTTAATACTTATTGGCTTTTCTAGCATTTGCCTGTTGAACCTTTAAGCCATATTATCTTATGTTTTATCAATTTGGTTAAATATAATTTTTATTTGGCTTCCATAATGTGTTATTCTAAAATAGAAATATATTAAATCAGAAAATCACACTGATTTGACAAAGAAATTTTTTAACAAGAGTAAACACTGTTACGAACTTGAGCTTTGGTTACCATTACATACTTTCTAGCCAACTTCCAAATATGAACGTCAATGTCCATGTTTACATTTATTTTAACATGATTTCTTACCTGTGCTGTATTACTACATATATATGATTGTGTAGTTTTTACAAAGATGTAAACTTGTTCCTGTTTTGGTCATATTTACTTTGTTGATAAATGATTGCTCTGTAAACAATTGTGATAAATTGTTACTGGCAATGATTATTGATTGTCATTGTTTTATATTAATAATTTAAACAAAGATAATGGTTTAAATTTCATTTACATTATTTTGTTTGTTTTTATATTAGTATCTGATATTAGTTAAGATTATATTAATAAATGTATTGTAATTTTTTGTTTTGTATGAAACAATAGATAGTGACCATGCAGCTGAATGTTTGGATCATCTACAAACAATGCTGTGGGAGTCTGGGGATCACACCCAAGATGATGACATCAGTTCCCTCATATGCATGCTGCAGAGTCCACTCTTTCGACAATTGTTGGTCTTACAAGACTCTATACAGGAACTTGAACAGGTACAGTACCTCAATGAAACCTAGTAGTTGTGACTCAATCAATTAGTGAAGAATCAGACCAGTTTATGTTGTGTGTTTAATTAAATATATTCCTTTGTAATGGCAATGCTCATTTCCAAATGCAAGCATGTCAATTCTAGTAAACACATTATGTCTGATTAAAATACTTCAATTGTTTATCGCACATAACATCTAGATTATTACAGGAAACTAAAATAATTTTACTCTTCTTAGAATCGTAGTATATATTTCTCAAGTTTAATTTCCTTGAAATATTTTGACTCATCTGGTGGCATGCAGCTTTAATTGCCTTCCTGAAAATTCTAGCATTGTTCAATATTTATAAACTACCGTTACCGATAAGATATATTCAGACCTATACTCACCTTTTCTACTTGATAGTTTAAATTCCAATTTAGATCATTAGAGATTTTTGTGCCCCCACATTAGTGGCGGGCATTTAGATTTACCCTTGTCCGTCCGTCCTTCCATCCGTACGTCCGTTCACTTTTGTGTCGCACGTAACTCAGAAAGTATTTGACCTAGAGTCATGAAACTTTACAGGAATGTTGATCAGCATGTGTAGTTGTGCACCTGGGTATTTTCGTCTGGATATTTTTAGTATTTTCAGAGTTATTGCCCTTGACTTAGTAAAATTTTGCAATTTTCAACTTGTGTCGCATGTAACTCAAAAAGTATTTGACCTAGAGTCATGAAACTTTACAGGAATGTTGATCAGCATGTGTAGTTGTGCACCTGGGTATTTTCGTCTGGATATTTTTAGTATTTTCAGAGTTATTGCCCTTGACTTGGTAAAATTTTGCAATTTTCAACATGTGTCCCACGTAACTCAAAAAGTATTTGACCTAGAGTCATGTAACTTTACAGGAATATTGATCAGCATGTGCAGTTGTGCACCAGGTATTTTTGTCTGGATTTATCTAGAATTTTTAGAGTTATTGCCCTTTACTTAGAAAATTTTTGCAATTTTCAACTTGTGTCGCAAGTTACTCAAAAAGGATTTGACATAGTCATTAAACCTTATGGGTAGGTTGCTCAGCATATTTAGATTTGCACCTGGGGTTTCGCTTGTGGATTTATCCATTATTTGTAGAGTTATTTCCCTTGACTTAGTAAAAAGATTGACAGAACAGTGGCGCGGTGGGGGCACCTGTGTCCTAATGGACACATTTCTAGTTATTACATGCTTTTCAGTGGTTTATAGAAATATATCAGTGATATAAAACTAGTAATTTCACTGTTTAAAACAGTGAAATTACCACTTTGATAATTTCACTGTTTTGAATTTAAGCCCGTTACGTTGTTTCAGTGAAATACCAGCGTGCACAGTACTGGGTACCAACTTAATGACGTGACGTCGTCAATGACGTCACGTTTTATTATTATTTGGCGCGCTTTTCATTCAGTGTTAGGTTTAATGTCTTTTTAAAACGTTTCTTTGCATATAATAAAAAGAAAATTTGTTTAGTTTAGTGTAAGATCGAAATATATTTCACCTTGTGAACACCAAAAGTTCATATTTCACTCGTGACTGCGCCACTCGTGAAATATACCTTTTGGTGCTCACTCGGTGAAATATATTCCGATCTTACACTGAACTAAACAAATATCCTCTATAGATTTAGTTACATTAAGGGAGTGGAGTGTCAATGAAAAATCGTTCTTTTTAGCTCGACTATTCGATAAGAATAAGTAGAGCTATTGTAGTACCCCGAGCGTCGGCGTCGGCGTAACCACTTATGTTAAAGTTTTTGTAATAGTTCAAATATTTTCAAAGTCCATTGACATATGGCTTTGAAACTTTGCACACTTGTTCACCATCATGACCCCAACCTGTAAACAGGAGGAGGTAACTGTATCAAGCATTTTGACAGAATTATGCCCCTTTTTCGACTTAGAATTTACGTTAAAGTTTTTGTAATAGTTCAAATATTTTCAAAGTCCATTGACATATGGCTTTGAAACTTTGCACACTTGTTCACCATCATGACCCCAACCTGTAGACAGGAGGAGGTAACTCTATCAAGCATTTTGACAGAATTATGCCCCTTTTTCGACTTAGAATTTACGTTAAAGTTTTTGTAATAGTTCAAATATTTTCAAAGTCCATTGACATATGGCTTTGAAACTTTGCACACTTGTTCACCATCATGACCCCAACCTGTAGACAGGAGGAGGTAACTCTATCAAGCATTTTGACAGAATTATGCCCCTTTTTCGACTTAGAATTTATGTTAAAGTTTTTGTAATAGTTCAAATATTTTCAAAGTCCATTGACATATGGCTTTGAAACTTTGCACACTTGTTCACCATCATGACCCCAACCTGTAGACAGGAGGAGGTAACTGTATCAAGCATTTTGACAGAATTATGCCCCTTTTTCGACTTAGAATTTATGTTAAAGTTTTTGTAATAGTTCAAATATTTTCAAAGTCCATTGACATATGGCTTTGAAACTTTGCACACTTGTTCACCATCATGACCCCAACCTGTAAACAAGAGGAGGTAACTCTATCAAGCATTTTGACAGAATTATGCCCCTTTTTCGACTTAGAATTTACGTTAAAGTTTTTGTAATAGTTCAAATATTTTCAAAGTCCATTGACATATGGCTTTGAAACTTTGCACACTTGTTCAACATCATGACCCCAACCTGTAAACAGGAGGAGGTAACTGTATCAAGCATTTTTTTTACTATCAAGCACTAAGAATAGTCGAGCGTTGCTGTCCTACCGACAGCTCTTGTTCGACTTAGAATTTATGTTAAAGTTTTTGTAATACCTTAAATATTTTCCAAGTCCATTGACATATGGCTTTGAAACTTTGCACACTTGTTCACCATCATGACCCCAACTTGTAGACAGGAGGAGGTAACTCTATCAAGCATTTTGACAGAATTATGCCCCTTTTTCGACTAAGAATTTATGTTAAAGTTTTTGTAATACCTCAAATATTTTCAAAGTTCATTGACATATGGCTTTGAAACTTTGCACACTTGTTTACCATCATTACCCCAACCTGTAAACAGGAGGAGGTAACTGTATCAAGCATTTTTGTTACTATCAAGCACTAAGAATAGGTGAGCGTTGCTGTCCTACCAACAGCTCTTGTTTCACTTCAAACAGACTTTATTTTGGAATAAATAGATTATATAATGTTCGTGTAGGTTCATTACTATTGAACTTCTTGAATAAAATTATATTATGCAAGTCTCTGCCTCTAAACTTCCTAAACTATTTTACAATAATTTGTAATGAACTTACACTCATTCAATATCCTGTATTTATTGGATGATAACAAATAACTCTGGCAGACCTGTTATGGACTTTGTGTTAGAGTTGTTGAACATTTTATCATAGATAAACGTAAGATTCATTGTCATGTACCTCAATATTGATGTGGATGGTTTATACTGAATATGAGCCGTGTCATAACAAAACCAACATAGTGGGTTTGCGACCAGCATGGATCCAGACCAGCCTGCGCATCCGTGCAGTCTGATCAGGATCCATGCTGTTCGCTATCAGTTTCTTTACTTGTTATAGGGTCTGTAAGCGAACAGCATGGATCCTGATCAGACTGCGCGGATGCACAGACTGGTCTGAATCCATGCTGGTCGCAAACACATTATGTTGGTTTTGTCGTGACGCGGCTCATATATGTTTGCAGTTTATTTATTATGCTCCTCTTTAATAAAGTTGAAGTATACTGTCATCAGGTGGTTCTCCCATAAGTATGTACATCTACTATAATTCTTATCCAACCAGTAGCCTGAAAAGTAATTATATGCCTAAATTTGACGAAGATGATCACTGTTGATCTTGAGATCAGTAGGTCAAAGGTCAAGATCACAATGGCCTCGACCTAAGATTTGGTGTAAAGTTTGGTAATGACTAATATATGACCCCTACTGATTTTGAGGTCATGGTTAGAGTGACACTCTGTATTGCAATATCAACATAATATTGGTGTCACATTTACTAAATTACACAATTTAAGTTATCAAAGTTTATCAATGATATTCAAGTAAGTGTCTTGTTTTATTTTGCAGGTAAATGAAAGCCAAGGTCTAGATGGTTACGAGTTTAATTTTCTGCCTGAGCTTCAACTTGAGTCAACAGGTCTAACAAATACAGCTTTCGAACCAGAAATAAACCAAGCTTCAAGTTTTCCTTACGAAACAACACCGGAGTATAAAGATGAATTTGAAAAGGTGATTAATATGGCTGCCAGGGGAAGAGAGGTTGAGACTATAAAGCTATTCAAGCCGGAGAAACAGTCTTTGGGGTTCAGTGTTGTAGCAAATCCAGGAGATCCTAGTATATATGTACAAGATATACAGCCCGGTGGAATAGCTGACAGGTAAGATTGTTATTATACACATTGATTATGTATGACGTAAGTATTGCTAGCTGAAAGAAAATTGAAAAATGCACATAGATTTTCAGCTGAACTATTTAAAAAATTGTTGAGCTATGCATAGGGCATGAAGGTCACTTACCATGACCACAAACTTATTCATGGATTTTTAAAAGACTCATCCCATATTTGTGAACTGCTTGCTTTTACTGCAAAGCAATGGAAAAATAGAGTGTGTTGTTTTGTGGCAGCTCTTGTTAGAATATCTTTTGTGATTGCTATTGTTTGAATAATTTACAGAATTTTAGGGATCAAGGCTTGTTTTTTCAAGAAATTTTGGGGACAAATGAATATTTTTACCAGTATCTATTTCTGTTTGACAGGCTTTAACAAACTTACTGGACTATTTTTCAATACAAAAAAAAAATAAATAAAAAAATCATGTAACAAATTTATATGCAAATAAACAATATTAGATCTAAATGTTGTTAATGCTTGTATGAAATACATGAAGAATGTAGATAAAGATACATCGATCTTGAGAGTTGTGATTTCTGAGGAGAGTCGATTAAATTTAAACCCTTACATTGGACCTTAATGATTGTTATATACAGAAAATACGATAATATAAGATAAATTTGCTTATTGTGCTCATGACATCATTATTCTTATTAACATAAATACTTATGTCTGCTTGATTAGCTGAAAAGGGAGAGCATCAAATTTTTTATACTCGGGCAAGGGAGGATGATTGATTTCGGTCATTAAGTTTAATGGTCATTTGTCTCTTGCTAATCATGTGGGATTAGTAAAGGGTCACTTGTGGAGATACTAGTGATTACTGCTTTGTTATGCAGGAAATATGACAACCCCCCCCCCCCCTACCAAAAAAAAATTGCAAAAAAAAGAAAATAAATAAAAATTTGTGTTTAATTTGATATTGATGTTAGAACACTAAAAATGCTATTGGTGGTTTATGAGATTACATAGGGTAGTTTGTACAAGAGGTGTAGGTGCTTGTATATTTATTCTAAATGTATTATTACATATTTTGTATAAATTGGTTAGTAACAGAAAACATCCTTCATAAGTTCATATATACTGTATATACTAATATATTTACCAGTATATATTATAAAAGACATGTAAAACTGATGCATGTTGTAAACATCAACAGATGTATGGTAATGACTACAATTGTGATCTAATGACATTCAAGCCATTTATTCTGTAATTTGATTGAATTATTTAAAATCTAGAAAATTGAACCAACTTAATATTGATTAAATGAACTTTCCAAGAAAATTTGGAGTCATGTTTTGCATTATTAAATTGTCATGTTATTTTTTGTTGTAAATTCCATCATTAATGTATTCCTTGAAAATTTCAGAGGAAATAGTAATTCAATGATAGGGTTGTTAGCTTAACAAAATAGTCAAATTTTTTGTACGATTCAGGGTTCCTAAAGTCACCCACATGTGGATGTAATTAACCCCACAATATCTTTTCATTACTCTAAGCTTTTAAGATTTTTGATATATATCTCTTGCAAAGACAGTAAAAAAATAAGAAAAGCAGATTGTACTGCCAGTTTCAAATATAAATATAAACAGCACCCTGCCTTTATGTTTATGTTACTTTATTTAATTAATGTTTAGTTTTTACTGTGATGGAGTCGGTCTGTCTTTATGTACATCCATACATACGTACATTCATACATATATACATCACATCTACCTTGTATGATCAATAACTTAAGAAGGAATAAGCCATGGTTTATGTTACTTATGGTAGTGACATTGCTCAAGACTAGTCAGTTTTGAAGTAAGTAGGTCAAATGTGAAGCTTAACATGGCTCTTTACTACTAACACCTTGTTTGAACAATTACTAGGGAATGCTTTTGCCAACAGTTCTAAGATTAAATATGGGTGTTGGTCATGATTAGCAGATGACCCCTATTGATGGTAAAAGTTCAAGGTCATCATAGCCATGATGGCAAATAACTTGAGAACACTTAAGCCTAAGATTTGGTCCTTAGTTATGACTAGTAGATGACCCCTACTGATAATTGAGGTCTTAAGTTAAATAGTCAATTTCACCGTGGCTTTGGCCACTGCAAGCTTGTTCAACCAATAATAAAAGAAGAGGTATTGAGGCTGATCATGTCTATAAAATGACACATCCTTAGTTGAGGTCAGTAGGTCAAGGTCATTGTGAGGTTGACCATTAAAAGCTTGTCCAACCAATAACTGCAGTCACTTCGGCCTACACTCTTCAAATTTAGTGTGTAGGTTGTCATGACTAGTAGATGACCCATATTGATTTTGAGGTCATATGATCAAAGGTCAAGTACACCCTGAACTTAATTCCTTCTCTAATCAATAACTTTGAAATAATGAAACTTTGTAGGGACTTTGACCCTGGCCTATAGGAGACCTCTATAGATTTGAGGTCATTAGGTCAAGGTGTGTATGATGCAAAAAATACTTGTGTGATCAAGAACAATAGTTTCCTCATCCATTGGTGTGTGTAACCTTTTAGTTATAATACTGTTGTGTTCAGTATATATTACTTATTGAATAAACACTTGTCATGTTTCTAATGTTCTTGAATGTTAAATGCCCGAGAGAAAATGAAGTGGGGGCATCAGTGTCCTATATTGACATATTTCTAGTGTTCTAAAATGCAAGCCCTTCCGCTAATGTCAGTTTGAATAAATATGATTAACTGACCTGGAAGGAACAAAATTTTAGTTAACTTTTACGAAGGTGTTCGTACATGCCTGAAATATTGAAAGATTTCTTTTGCAGATCAAGTTTCCAGGTTTTAAGTTGTGCTTCCCTTGTTTAAAATTTATGTTTTGTCATTTTAAAATAATGAACATACTAAAGTACACAATTAAATGTCACAAACAAATTCCTGAGAAATTTTATTGCTGGAACAAATTTCATTGCACCAAGAAAATGTCATTCAGAAGTCGTTTCCAGTTTTAGAAAATCAGTTTGTGTAGCTTACATCTTTGTGTTTAAAAAAAATCTGAAAAAGAATGCCAGATTTTATTGTAATTCTAAATTTTTAATTTGAACATAAATTAAAAAAAACACAAATTAAAAGTAATTTGACAAAATTAAATACAGTATTCAACAAGAACTTCTAACGTAACAATTTTCAAATAGCATGTGTCACAATGTTGCAACTTCTTAAGTTTTGGTGACTCAAAACTCAAATGATGGAAGAAAAGCCCAATACAATTTTACGTTATATCACTTATTATAAATGAGTTGTCAATTTTGAATTTTTAAAAAATAGACTAAAAAATCCATCCAGTTTTGTTCATTCTACTTCCAGCTCAGACAAAAACACTACTTAAATAACTTCACATAAGAAATGTAATAAATGCTGTTTATATTCAAAATATAGACTTGTAAATGTAATTATAACATCCAGTACTGAAAGCTGTTGTAAAGTAATAATACAACGCTTCCCATTTATATAAAAACACTGTATCAGGAACTTACATTACCAGTAAATGTATCTTGTCACACATCATCTTCCCTCCCATTCTCTCATAAATGTTTAAACTGCGTAAAAGCCAGTTTTGTGCATGCAAGACTAGTGGTTGCATTAATTGCAAGACATTGACAAACAACAAAATTGCATGATAACTTCCATTTCTGTCTTGTAAAACAACAACTAACAATGACATTTAAGAACGAAGGAAAAGGTCACATGATAAAAGCTGCTGTAACCAGCAAGATACTGTTGATGAAGCTGTTACAATAAGTTACTGTTAACTAGGGGTGTAACAATACAGCAAAAACCGTATTGCAATATATTGCCATTTTGCTGAAGCGTATTGCAATATATTGCAATACGTATTGTCGTGTATATGTTTTGATGTAAAAATGGAGTAACATTTATATATTATTATTATATGTATATATTTTTTAGTAGAAACTTAATAAAAATGTAAGGAATAAATAGAAAGTAAAGTGTCACACAATTTGATAAACAAAACTAGTCGCGTGTGACCTTTCACATCTGGACCGCTTATGTAAATTATGCGGCCGCTTATTGACTTTTAAGTGTACTGGTTGTCGGATACTTTTATCATACGTTGGCGCCAATAAAATTCGCCAATTAAAGATTTTATGTGAAATTTGTACAAAATTAGAAGGCAATTAATTGAAAATTATGATTTTTATAAAATACCGGTTTTCCAAAAATCGTACCGCGGTACGAAATTTATTTTTATGCCACCGCAGCATCTGCGATGCGGTGGCATATAGCGATTCACCTGTGTGTGTGTGTGTTTGTGTGTGTGTTTGTGTGTGTGTTATATAGATTATATAGTGAACTTAAAAAATCTTCTTGTGAAAAACCACTAGTCCAATTTCAACCAAACTTGGCAGGATTGTTCCTTGGGTGAAGGGCTTCCAAAGTTGTTCAAAGAATTTCATTCCATGCAGAAATCTGGTTGCCATGGCAACCAAAAGGAATTATAAGAATAAATTTAAAAAATCTTCTTGTAAAGACCCAAAAGGCCTAGAGCTAAGATATTTTGCATAAGGCATTGTCTGGTAGACCTCTAACAAGATTGTTCAAATTATAGCCCTGGGGTCAAAATTGGCCCCGCCCCGAGGGTCATTGATTTTCACTATGTACATATAGTAAAAACTTAAAATACCTTCTTGTAAAAACCCAAAAGGCCTAGAGCTTAGATATTTTGCATAAGGCATCTTCTGGTAGACCCTTACCATGATTGTTCAAATTATAGCCCTTGGGTCAAAATCGGCCCCGCCCCGGGGTCATTGATTTTCACTATATGTACATATAGTAAAAACTTAAAACACCTTCTTGTAAAGACCCAAAAGGCCTAGAGCTTATATATTTTGCATAAGGCATTGTCTGGTAGACCTCTACCCAGATTGTTCAAATTATAGCCCTGGGGTCAAAATTGGCCCCGCCCCGGGGGTCATTGGTTTTCCTTATATGTATATAG